TATTTTCATCTAGATAAGAATTCTAATAACTCTTATCAGTCTAGGTATTTTAAATATATCTTTATACAACACATGCATGAGAATATTGTTTTTGTCATTTTAAACAGATTCGTATAATAAATTATCAATACATAAATCTCTCGACAGAAATCTTAGATTAAAACTAATTGTGGAAGTTTATAGAAGGGTCACCACGTACCTACCCTTAATAATTTGTTTGTTAAACTTAAACAATATAATTATAACGCTATTATTGTATTTTACTTAAAATTTACATAATATTTCTAAAAGCAAATAAATTAACATACGTAGGTATAATTAGATTTATTAAATCACGTACCGCGAAAGAATTATAAATACGTTTTTTTAAATATATTTAGTACCTTGAAGGTGCCCACGAAGATATACTCATTACAATATCTCCTGAAATGATAAAGATAATCGATTTTTTTTTTTTTTTTTTGTATAATATATGAATATTATAAAATGCAAATATTTATATTTGAAGTGAATTTTTATGTTTTGGTAAAAATTTAATATAATAACTTTTTATTTTATTATTTTACGAAATAAAATGTAGATAATCATTTTATTGGGTTTATTCTTCTTAAAATGTTGACCATTCAAATTGTCATTTTCGTTTGTAATTAGTGATTTTTAATAATTTTTTAAAGTTCAGAGAATAAAAAAAGGACGGACATACTTCGCGCGTAGGTGCAGCCATTGTTGTAGGTGAGAAGTTGGAAAGATAGGATACAGGTGGGAATTTAATGTATATCTGTAAGCAACCATTGCTAACGAAAAAACGATTCAGAGTGGAGTTCAGTTGATAGTGTTACTTTGTTAACAATACAATTTATGGTATATATCATATTATGGTAAAATGATTATAACAATGTGCGTTTCTATGACAACAATGATTGTTTAAAAAAAATTAATATAATAAAAACTTCATAATAACAAAAATTAAATAAAAACGGTTGCCAGATACAACCTTATTTTTAATCTTTCAATCTTTTTTAACCTACAGACTGAAGTTTTCCTTATTATCTCGAATATTAATAAGAATTCAAAAAAATTACCTCTTTAAAGTACCACTAAGAGAAGGCACTATACTTGATAATCGTAGTATGCTTTCTGGTAAAAAAAGTGTTCACATAAAAAAAAAAATAATAATAATTACCATCTTCGTAAAACCAATATATTCCTCGGAATCTAAAATTTTACAGTCAATTATGTACCCATAATAATAATAGTCAATAATTAGCAAATACTATAACAGTCTACTGATTATAGGTAATCGGAATAATAATTAATATATCATAATTATTATTATGATGGCTAATATTTTGTGTACATTTTTTCTCCGAACTTAAAAAATTATTTGAATAATGAAAATAAAAAGCTCAAACATCAAAATTTCTAGAAAAATAATAAACCTTATTAAGAAGATGTATTTTAAATAATACATATGCATAGTTCTAATCCCTGTGAGTATATATATAAAAAATAACTTAATTATCTTTATCGTCTCTGGAGCTATTATATTGGTTATATCTTCGAGAGACACTCTTACTCTTACTTAAGTATATCTATCTAGTAACTTAAGTTTTAAGCATAATATTCATTAAATTATATTTTATGTTTATTATTATAGCTAATACAAAACTGAAAATTAAAATCGTCGCACAACGACTTGTTATCGGTCAATATTGATTTAAATTGTCATTTTGTAAATATATGTACCAATGGAATGTTTACTCTATTTCCCATACTACCTACATAAATTAAACATGCATGTGTTATTTAATCAATTACTTGGTAATATGAAATTGAATCAAACACGGCAATAATATTTATTTATTTTTATATATACTAGAAACACATAGCTTTTATTTGGGCGGTGTAATGTATAATGTAATTAACATCGGGTATAGTAAGTTATAGAATCATGTTTTTCTTTTTTCAAACGATTATCGTATTAAATCATTTATAATTTCATTTAAATTAAAACGTACCGGTTTTGTTGCATATTAGCGTTTAAATAGCTTTCTTCTGTTTAATATTACGGATACCTTAAGAGGGAGACTATATGGATTTAATTTAAGAATTTAATAAAACACACGCCTGTGTAAGACGGTTGTCTGCGTAGTGAGACGCGGTAAACTGTCTTTTTGGTTAGGTAAAGAGACGGCAAAAGCAACGGTGTGGCGGCAGCGGCGTCGTCGAAATGAAAACAAAGTTTACCGACGGATCGGTGGGAGCGGGGCCGAGAGCAAGGGACTGCCGCGGGAGAGGCGGTGGCGGTTTTATGGCCCGGAGACTAGCTGATATAGGCTGGGCTGCTTTTAGAAGCTTTTTCATCCAGATGACTTGGTTTTCGGGATCCCCTCAAAGGTCTATCAAAGGCCGGTGTCCTGTGCCCCGGTTGTTTTTCCGGTTCTGGGAAAAGCTAATAAAATGCTAATTCAGTGTTTGCCGCCCGGCAGTAATGAAGAAGTTTTAAGCGAGCCAATCGGCAACGTCGACTGCTCCAGCCGCTTTTCCTTTCGGCGCGTGGCGGGCCGGAGAGGCGCTGCCGCCGGTAAAAAGGAGAGGGCGAGCAGGAGGCGAGGCGAAATGTGCTAAATTAAGAATCTCTGAAACAGCAGCCCTTTGCCGTAGACCAAATGATTTTAATTAATTGGGTTTGGTGCTGTTTATATTATATGCACACCCGCGTCGCCGTTGCATCGCAGCTCGTCTCTAGTATACATGTACAGAAGGGGTTTCCCTTGCCGCAGCAAATGGATTTAAATATCAACGTCCCCGCGGATAAATTAAGTGCCGGTTCTGTTGTTTGAACGTGCCGTTATATATCTATTTCCATCAGTTAAAATAATTTATATACTCTCTCTACTGTCATCGCGTGCTCAGAAATACGCAACTGACAATATGGTATTTGTGTGTTTATGCTAATGTTGATGTTGGATTTTATCGATTCAATCTAATAATGCGTCCTCAAATGTACTCAAATCTGCGACGGCGAATTAACATCTCAGATCGCGGTTACCGAAAAACCACAAACATTATTTTATACTCTTTCTCTTTTTCTCTCTTTCTGTCTTTGTCTTTTCTCACCTCTAATGACAAGATTATTCTCTAAGAGTTTTTGCCATTATTACTACACTTCATTACTACACCTGCAGCTGTCTCTACCTCGAACTGCCTACCTTCTGTTTTTAACTGTTGAACCTCCCAAATCCTCTTCTACCTCGTCATTCCACCTTTTTCTGGATGCTTCTCTAGGTCTTCATTCTCGAGGTTTATATTCCATAGCTACCTACCCAAACTGTCTCGTCTTCACTTCTTTTCATTTTGTGGCCAAACTGTTGAATTCTTTGGACCGTATTTTACATTAATGGTGAGAATTATAATATTATTCTATTTCGTGGGTGTAATGCTCTTGGAATAAATTTGATTTTAATTTTTATATAACATTTTTAACGCCGAAGATTTTCAGTAGTAATGCATGCAGTTTATAAAATATTTTAAATACCTATATAAACACCGATGGTTGTATAAAAAAGAACGTGGAGGACATTATTTTGATGGATCCTCATTTTTATAAAATATACATTTTCAAAATATCAATCAGAAAAATAGGTATGGAAAGAGAAATAAAAAAAACGCGTATTTTATTCCAAATATCTGTCCTGTAGCTAATGAAAAACGCTTCTAGGAATTTCATTTTTCAAAACAATCATTTTGAAGGGTAATATTACTAGTAAGACTTACTTTACTTAGAATATTTTATGTTTTGTAGATTAATTTGTATTTTTTCTTTTTAATGTCATAAAAAATTGTCTATATAATATAAACACTGTAGTGCGCATATGTAATTTCGCTTTAATTTCAATTTAGCCTGTTTAATATTATATGATACCCAAGAACGTAATTAAACTTTATAGTTTTTTCCCAAAATCATCGGGAGTATTTCAATATGCTAACGCAGTACGGCGATATCTACTGTATTCTGCTTTTGGTTAAATATGCCACCTACCAACTAAAAGCAATTATTCATAAAATCGTATTTAAACATTTATTATCTTGTGCGTTTATATCCAAATTTTGTAAATTATAGTTACATATTGTAAAGTACGAGATAATCTTGTTATTGTGGAATTTCTTTAAAACAGACAACAAAAAAATCCAAAAAACGGGATTCGGATAACAAACCTTAAGATTATGTTTACTTACGATGTTCAGAGAAGAGATGTCGAGCGGTACCAATTTATTCAAAAACATTATGCATTTTTTAATCACGTTAAATGGGAAATATTAATAGCGGACTGTCACTAACTATAATAATGGAACGTGTGTGATTTCGGGTCAATAGTATAGGTGTTTCTTATAAGCAGTAACTTGGACAGGGCGAGGAAATCTGCAATAGTTAATTGATACAATTTATGCTGTGTTACGTATACAACTCAATTCAATAAACGTTAAAAAACGGGTGGATCTAATTGTATTGTCCAAATCGTTTAAATGAAATAGAAAACACAACCGAGGACTTTTACAAACACGCGATAAAAGACAAAAAGAATCGGTTGTTTGATTTAAATATTATTTAGATTACTTAATAGAATGTTTTTTTTTATTATTATGTAATTAAATTAAAATAAAACAATTAATGTTGTCGATATTACCGTAATAGGTAGACAGCATATTGAATTAGAAATATGATGGTGGATAACCTATTATCAATAATTTGTATGTTTGCATAAAACATGTTACTTTGAACAGAAAATACAATTGGATCACTGCCAGATCATTCAAACGTCATACATAGGTGTACTTATTTATTTGTATTAATTACATAAAACGTAATAAAGGTCGTCAGTGATAATATTGAAGAAAAACGTTTCAAATGACTAGCTCAATATATAATGATTAAAAACAATTTGTTTTTACATTTTTATACACATATAAATATATATATATATATATATAATATTACAATAATGTTTATACAAGATTGCGCGAGAACAACATAACCTATATCTATAATATAATACAGCTATTTTCTAACAATTTTTATTGTAGTGCAAACACATAATTAAATATAATCCTATGCATATGCTAATGTATAATGTATACGATTTATATACAACGTCAATAATTAATATTATACAATACAATATTGCGATTCGTACACGGCGGGAGAGTTTCGAAAGTTGTACAATATATCTGTTCCCGCGATATACAATGATATATATATATATATATCATGAATTTAATTAACTATATTAAAATTTACGGTTATTTAAATTAACATTACCGCGTGTTTATAGGACTCGTTAAGTATAATAATATATAGGTACACGGTCACGTTGCGATATATTGGATTATAGTACAAAACCGATCATGTATAATAGTATCATATTATTAATCACTAATAATGATAAAAATAAAAATAAAAATAAAAATAAAAATAATAATCATAAAAATTATAATAATAAAAATAATAATTATAATAATAATGTTATATTATTATTTTATCGTTTCGCGCACGCGTTTCACGGTCAGTGGCTCGTATACATATATACGAAATACACGGTCGCGTCGTAACGCAACAAACAGGGGTCGTAGCGCGCGCGCGCGTAAACAATCCCCCAAATAGGGGAAGGGGGTTAAGGGGCGGGGTGGGGGGGGGTAAACACTTTGTCGGCGGAAGGAATAACCGATTCGGCGAAGCGCGTCCGGTCGCGGCCGTAGGTACGTACGCGCGTATATTATCGCGGTCGTTATATTTTTTTTCGACGAATCTGTGCAGCACAAGTCTTGACGAGGACACGCCGATAGTATATGATGTATTATACATACGCGTAAAACTAAAAAAAAAACCGACGGACGAGCGACGGACGTCACACGACGCCGCGCGGTGTGTTTTATTTTCGGTATACCTATATAATAATTATTATTATACGCGCGGTCGGTGTCCGAAAAAACAAAAACACGAGTACGCTCGGGACCTATTAAACCATTTGCATGCCTTTGGTGATGGACTCGACGTGTTCTTTGGCTTTGAGCCTGAGCACCGCGATTGAGGACGTCCTGGGGTCCGCGGCGGACGCCGTGGACGATGACGACGTGGACAGCGAGGACGACGACGGCGGCGTGACGGCGGCCATCTGCTGCTGCTGCTGCTGCTGCTGCTGCTGATGTTGCGGCGACGGGGGTGACTTCATGGAAGACGGACTGTGCACCACGGGCGGCGTCAGGTAGCTCGGGTAACCGGTCTGCGGGTGCGACAGGAAACCGGGAAGCGCGGACAGCAGCGGCGGCGATAGCCACGGGTCGACAGGCAGCGCTAGGCTGGAGCCGGGCATCCGGCTCAGCGAACCGGCCATCGTCGAGTGCACGTAATCGTTCAGGCCCAGCCTGGCCGCCTCCATCTTCTCTTGTCTGCGCCACTTGGCCCTGCGGTTCTGAAACCATACCTGCGAACACGAACATTTGACCATCATTAAACGTCATATTATACGTATTAAATTTGTCCCGTTATAAATAATTCTATAAATTATTTTAATGTTTTGAAACAATACAATATTTTTTATATTTAAAAAATCGCATTTAATAATTCCGAGTAAGGAGCCTACAGAATAGGCTGAAAAAAAGAAATTATTTCGACAAAAAACCATCGTAAGGAATACTTCACAGTGCGTGTATTATAGTCAAATCTGCTAACGACATTTTCGAATTCTATACGGAAAAAAGTAAAAAAATGTATGTTCGGGAAAAAAAAATGGGTTCTTTGCTGCAGTATTATAGTTTCTGGAAATAATGATATGACGGGTCGGGTATAGCTATATATAAGGAGGGTATGGGTAGAATATGGGTAGAAAAAAAACATGTCTCGCACCTCGCCATTTCACGGGGTTTCGAAAGAAAATGATTTTCTTATATTTTTTATTATTATATATAGTAAACGTTCGGGGGTTAGGCGAAGAAAAATATATAAAATAAAAATGAAAGCAAACTTAATAAAACACGGCAAGGAAAACCAGCATGGCCGTCGTAGGAAAAATAAAAAATAAAATTTATATATATATATATATATGTGCGTGTGTGCGTGGGTGTGTGTGTGTATATGAACAACCCGGAATGAGAAAGACAAAATACCTTGGCTAACTCGATTTATATCCATTTTTCTAGAGCGTAACTTAATTTACCGATTACTGGGACATAAAACGTTCTCAATGCGACCAGCGTAAATATTATATATTATACTTTTACCCGTTTATTTTTCCTTTTTTTTTTATTATTATTATTATTTTTTTTTAAAAGTCGAAAAGAAAATTGACGTTAACAAAAAGGGCGAAAAACCTTTGATGTTTACGTATATAAATATAAACATATATAATATATATATATTGTATATAGGTAGACACTACACTTGACACACAGCGTTTTTTCCAGATTTATTCAATTTAAATGTTATAATATAAAAAAAAAAATCGTCGTTTTCCGTGATTTGTTAATCGAATTGTTATTTTAATATTTTATTTTTTATAATAATATAGCGACTGCATCGCAGGAAATACGCGTGTAGGCTTTATGCAATCACGTCGGTGGTGTAAAGAACGTGACGAAAACCAATTATAGTTATCTCGCAAGAAAATATAATATTAAGTTTTCTCTCTCTCTCTCTCTCTCTTTCTCTCTCTCTCCTACCCGCGATGTTATTACGACGGCACACAGTAATATTATTTTTTAATACGATTTTACTTATATACCGGTAATAGTGTTTATGCGGAAATAAGTTTTGTCCTAACCTAAAACGTTTATGTTTTAATGAAAATCAAGTTATACCGCGCGCAATGTCTTTGTATACATCATAATCTTAGCGTTGCAATTTTATTTATATTTTTTAAAACTTTGAAACTTTCAATAAATATCACTGTAATAGGTATAACAAAAACAATTTTTGGTGTCCAAAAAAAAAAAAAAAGAGAAAGAAGATAGGAACTAAAAATATTTATGTAGCTGTATAATATCGAAGAATCGATAGGAAGACTTTGATACGGTGAAGGTGCAAAGGATGGAGGAATTAAGTACTGTCCAATGAACCTCAGCGTTTATTATACTATGCTATTTCTCAACCGAGGGTACGCGAAACAAAGGTAAAGTCTATTCGATTGATTGAAACGGTTTGGTGGACATTACAATGAATTGTGTATAATATAATATTATTTAAGTGACTAAACAAACGTTCGAGTAACGAATTTGACTCTCGGGTGGGCGATGACCAAAGTCGTGACATTTCGATAATGATCGGCAAACCCCCAGAAAACAAGACAAATTAAATTTGTTCGCCCACAAAAACCAACCCGAATTGCGTTTATGCGTCTTCAATCCGTTTAGCGATATCGTGTATAAGTCGCGAATCTATCTCAATGTATAAAGAGTGATTTATTCATCACGAACCAGCTGTTTTCCCTTCGAGTGAATTTGATTTCTGTTTGGTTTTTAATTTCCGTCATTACGATCAAATCGTCTAAGCTTTTATTTAACAGTATTTACAATCCTTATTATAGTTAAACATTTAAATCGGAACATTAGGGAAAGCTAATTTCGTATTGATTTTCAGATGATAAATTGATAGTCCTTCCCTAAAACAAAACCGAGAGGATAAAATTTTAAATTCAACGTTCGAAATTCAAAATATTGTAGTTTTAAGTACCTATAGTTAACAATTCACAAATTGACATACAATATTATTTTATTTGTCAATAGTTCGATATACTACATTCGTTTCAAGGTTTTAACAAAGCAACTCAATTATGTTTTATTATATTATGTGTATCGTGGTTTGGCTTCAGAAGGTATTCGAATATTAAAAAATCGTCAATCGGCAAAAATGCAAATCCATCTATTTCGCTATTAAATCATCAATTTCACCATCAAATCGTCAATTTCGATATGTATTATCGCTATAGTCCGTCAAGTGATGAAAACTTGCCATAAAACTATTTATTATCGTGGAAAACAATAAGTATAATATTATATTACCGTGAGTATACGTAAGTTTCCCGTTTGTTGGGCTAATGCGTTCTATGGGAGGTGAATACATACATTATTTGATTATATTCTAGGGAAGGAAGGGGATGAAATTTGTCACCCGGCGCTTTGTATACGAACACACTCTGCAGAACGTTTAATTCGAGTGCGCACATTTGGTTCGGCACCCTCTCGGGTATATTTTACAGTGACGTATGGATCGTCGCGTCGTCAAAACTTCTCCGTGTAACCAAAAATATAATTTTAGTTTTTTTATTTTTTTAAACAGTCAATTCTATTATAGTTGTTTTATTCAAGTATAAATATTAGGCCGTGGTCCAATATGTAATCTACTTGCCAGAGGGTTGAAATTCAATAAAGGGTGCTTTTACAATGTTTGCAATTGAAAGTAACATTTATAATTTTGTTTGTAGTTTTAAACAAATTCTGGGGTCAAAAATTGATAAAAATATGTCTCTATTAGATAATGATTACGCTAATATTTTCTTCAATAATGGCTGTATATAGAGGGGATTCGATTCTGATATTTTCTTGCTTAGTCTTACTCATACTTAGCATACTAATTTAGAAAAATTTTCCAACAGCCAATTGATCGATGTCGTTAAACAATAAGAATTCTTAAGACAGATTTGAATCCAGCGTTAAGTATACATGAAATCGGCGATGCCGCTGTTTTCAATTTAGTTTTAGTTTTTTTTGAATACACATTTTTATCAATTTTAAAACATTTAAATCAAATTTTTGTAAATTGAAGTCTATATAGTTATTCAAAAAGTAGCCTGACCGATTTCATTTACTATGCTGAATTCAAATCTATTTTCAGAATTCTTATCGCTTTGGTCGAAAAATTGATCTAAATTGCCGTGTTTTTTAGACAAAAAACAAAACATCTGTGTATTCAATCGACATTTAGGAGCGAGCCCACCGCATCCGTTCGGTTCAGTTTTCTAATCTTCCGTCCACGGCGACGCCCCGACTTGCCAAATAAACTAAAGACGAAATAAAATAAAATGTGTTTGGGCGACTGAACTATATTAACCGGTTATTTTTTATTCATAAAAATAACAGCAAATATTGTATTATTTGCCAATGTATGGCCGCATGCATTACATTCTGGACCACAATCCAGACGTATATGGTAATGCTTTTGACGGCCAATCGGGTTCGACACCTATATTACATCCGGGGAGTATATATATATATATATATATATATATAATAACATAAATGAGAATGATTCCTACACACATATTGTATATAGGTATACACGAAAAAACGGTCACATGATGCAGCATGAGTATACATTATTATTGTACGGCAGTTGGTCGGAAAGGGTTCGTCTCAGCGAGGGGCATTTGATTATTGTGCGTGTGTGTGTATGCGTGTGTTTTTCTCTCTTTCGTTATCTGATTTCGTTATAATAACACAATCGTATATAATATAATATAATGTCACGTTAAGAGGGTTTCTGTCGATTAGGGTCGCCGCGGCCGAGTGTTTTTTTTTTTTTTTTTCTGTACATTTTGTATTTTGTTAAACGGGATATTATTCTATAATAGAACGCGAAACGCGCGCGACAATGTAATAACGTATCGTATAATAGCCTGTCGGAATAAACGAACACCGGTTTTTTTTTTTTTTTCCCCCCGAGAGAGTATTATACTTACCTATCTATGTGTATATATATAGGTAAGTACATATACACGAGAGAAGTTTGTTATTATTTTTTTATGTTTTTCTAATAGACTGTACTCTTCTCGTACACGGAGTACTTAAACGGGGTGGCGTGCGGAGGGTTCAAGAGTCGGCGGCACTCGAGTTTACAGAGATAATATATTATTTATAACAATATAATATAATAATAATAATAATAATAATATACCGACGACGATGACGGCGGCCGAAAATTGTTGTTTCCGGAAATCGTTCAAACGCGGACAAGAGGAAATACGAAATCCGTCGGGGCGCGAAATCATTTATAAATAATATGGCGACGAATTTATTTTATCCCGGGTACCGTGTTGACGTCTCCCCTATACGTCTTGAAACTCGTCACGGACGCAAACGAAATCCTTTTAGCGATTGCTTATCGCTATATGGAGCAGATGTCATCATGTAAAACTATACAAAAAACGTGGAATATGTGAGCACTACTTGCGCATTAAAAATAGATTCTAAACATTTTTTTCTAGTGATTTAATATAAAAATTATTGGTTATTTAAAAAAAACGTCTAAAATAAAAAAAAAAACTGCCTACCCGATTGAATTTTATGCCATAACCAAAATATAATAAATTTAAAAAAAAACATTTTTGTCTAAGGAAATGCAATTTTTATTTTTAATTTATATTGATTAAATTAAGTAAACATTAGTTGATCGATTGATTTTTAAATACATTTAATTTGAAATGTCTTCTTCTGACACTAACAAAGAACATTTTCACTACATTAATTTATGATTTGATTACTGATTTTCGATTCGGTGAATCTAATTTCTTAAGAAATTACGAAAAAAAACATCCGAAAAAGCATAAAAAAAAACCTCCTAAAATGTTTCGAAAATTGAAAAGACCTAAATACGTAAAAATGTGCGACATAAAATTGTAGATTCGGCTTTGTTGTATAACGTGAAGCAAATTTCGTTCAAACCGGCTTTTCTTTTTACGACTGCGCAAAATAAATGCGCAAATGCTAGAAATCCACTGTCCTACTTAACACGATTTCAACGATATCGATATTCGATAGTAAACACAACGTCACTGTACGGTATTCGTCGACACTAGACGAAATATTACATCCTGAGGCGGTCGGTCGATAAGGTACCGGACAATAATAATTCTGTACAGGTACTTGAAAATACCAAAAACCGTACATATCCGGCGGACCGAGAGTTTCCCCATTTGCGTGTCGCGGCTCGTTTCGAGTGAGCAATACGCGCTCGGCGGGGTGACACATCGGGCGGTGCACCCGTCCTCGTACGTTATTACGACGATCCGTACGCCCTTTCGACACCGCGCGCGTAACTGCAGTGTTTTGTGCGTATCGTCTTATCACTGCCGACCGAAATCCCGTCGTCGGCGATAAACAACCCAGTGGTGTACGTCCACATGGGTATGCACGGGTATCGTATAAAAAAAAAAAGAAAAAAAGAAACCATTATTTTGTTGCCGAATTATTTATTTAGGTATTATTTATTAACGTCGGCGCCTCCGCAGTTCGGATTACCCGATCCGGCAACCGTATCGCGTTACACATCGCCCCGTATAATATCGTGACGACGTTATGTTATTATGGGTACGCGTCGTCGGAGTTTTCAGGTAAAATTCGAACGGACGCGCCGTGTATGTGCCGTGTGCGCGTATCGTAATACCGCCAGTCGCGTTCGTATACGTGTAACGCGCGCAATACCCGTCCGAAATGTAACAATACACGCGCGCCTCGTATTATTAATATTATCATTATTTTTTTCTTTAAACGTATTGGATACCCATTATTATTATTATTATCATTATTGTTACCGCGCCGGAGATGTTATTTTCGTTCTCTGTAATAGCATAATAATATCGACCTCCCCGCGGTCCTCCTTCGGATATTATTTTGGTTTTACGCCCGACATAATAATAATATTATCGGTACCTACGCACCGATCTATATACACATATACCTGTACAGAAATTATCCCCGCCAAACGGTATAAGGCATTAAAAAAAAAAAAAAAAAAACCCGTAAAAAAAAAAACCGCATGCGAAGAAGACAAAAACGCCGATCGTAATAAACGTTAATATACGTTCGAACGTCTACCCAAAGTGTATAGTGTGTTAGTGTATGTACGGTGGAAGTATTTTTTTTTTTTCATTTTTTTTTTTTTTTTTTTATATATAATTCGATTTATGTCCGTTCGAATATTTATTAATAATAACGACGACACCGGAATAATATTAGAAGTATACATTGATAATTGAATGAAAAAATATTATATTAAATAAGATAATTGTATTGATTTTTTTTTTTTTTTTTTTTTAATGATGTGTACTTAATAGTACCTAGATATTATATAGAGACGTGTTGAGTGAAAAGAAAAAATCTCAACTAAATTTCAACCAAGTTAACAAGAAAAAGTAGGATTTTACTGATTAGAAATTCGGTTTTCTCGGATTGGGCTTTTAAATTCCCGTTGACGAATCGTTTCGGAAAATCCTACGAGTTATTCGTTACATCCCATCCCATTGAAAACTTCAGGGCACGTCACTATAACTGTAGTTGTCTTGTAAACGCATCGCGAAAGCTTGGTTATCTTCGAAAATTTTGGTATCTTTTCTAACTGCCCAACAACGGAAAACGTCCCCCGTCTCGATTTAAAGTTAATACGGCCGTTCAAAACATAATTTTATCTTCGAAATATTATTATCGAAAAACGAAACTTAATTTTACGATTACCGAGTCCCGAATTCCACGAATACCCACATTTTTAGACGTCGTGTTAACAAAAATTAAAAAAAAAACTTCAGAATAAGGCGTTACATTTGAATGTTTATATTATTTTAAAGGGTGGAAAAATACCAGGTGATACGCGACCTTTTTCCTCGTATAGGCGGCGGGCGATAGCATCGGGCGGTACAAATTACCAAGACGCGTTTCGAAATTTGATTGACACGTTAAATAAACGGGCGCGCTCATCGAGAAACGTCCGCGTAGAGGGCCGCACGCGGGTCTCTAATGTAACGGCTAATTGAGTTTTCGGACAAAACAATTTGGCCGGGTCGTGAGAGAAAAACAAGCTGCACCGCGCACCGGGTAAAACGGTCGTAAACCCTTTTCTCCGTTTTCGGCCAATTGATTTCCACCGCCTCGTTGACAGACAGCTAATTTCATCGGGTCGGTTCAAAACGAGCGAAAATAAACTCGTCGCCGTCCACCAATATATACAATATTATTTAGTTATGCCGCTCAACTCATCGTACACATTACACGCGTGTTCGGCGCACCGGACGAAACGAATTCGAGTACGTATAACCGAGTTAATGGTTACATAATATTTGAACGCGGTAAACTCATCGTTCGGGCTAATAAGATAGTCGCTTTTTTGCGTTTAAAACCGCCCATTGTTATACGGCCGTTGACGCCCGTATGGGGGGGGGGAATACAAGACGGATCATCCACCCTCTCCCTCGCCCGGATTTCAAAATTTCAAATATAATTTCAACAATTAATAAACAGTTTAAGTACACTTTTTGGGGAACTTATCAGTTAAAATTTGTATTAGTCAAAAATAATGGTATTGTAAAATTGTAGAGCTGTGTGTTCCTTAAATTATCATAAAAAATAATAGGTATGTATAATAATAGTTAATAATCAATGTACCCATTTAAATGAATCACCTTATACTTTATAGAGCATAACGTTATTTGTGTTTTCCCATTATGTATTTTTTATTTAAAAATTATATTTATATGTTATATTATATTGGTTTATATTACATTTTTTTTTATAATATATTAAAAAGGTGGATATTTTGTCTAGAATTGGTGTGCTCCAGTTTTAAAGAAACTGTAAGAAGAATGTTAAGAAAACTTATGACCGATGGATTTGCCAAATCATATAGCTATACCAGCCATGAAGGAAATAAGAATGCATTTAATAAAACAGTTTTACGCCTTCTACTTCTTAGTAAGTAATTAGACATTTATTGAAAATAATTATTTTATTTTACTAATTAATATTAGAAGCAATGCATTCTTCTTCTTTCAACAACACTACAATCAAATAAATTGAAACCGTTGCTAATATTTGATTTAAAAAAGCAAGTGAAAAGCTAAAAATTACTATACCAATTTGCTATGCATGAACATTATTTTTATTTATGAATTAATTTCATTCCATTCTAAATAAAATGAAAAAATACAATATAAATATATTGTATTTTTTTATTTTTTATTTACATAAAAAAGGTTTACTTTAAATGTAGGTAAGCATATATAAAATTAAACGATTAACTATTTATTTTTGACTATTTTTTTATTTATTATATATAGATACTAAAATTATACATATAAATTATTGTAAATATAGTTTCTATTTATATAATTTAATAAGTAAGAAGTGAATGTTCATATCTTATGCATGGTTTTACTATAATATGCTATACATTTTTAATTTGAATATCTAAAGAATATTAAATTATTAATGATGATTATTCAGTGAATATTGGATTGGAACGATTTATAGCATATTGCATATTGATAGCAGGTTGATTATAGAATTTAGAATATTATATGATTATTTAATCATAATCGAATGAATATTCTTTTCACATAATATGTTGGGATAACAGTTAACTGAGTTAAGCTCCTCGTACATATAAAGTCATCACGTATTATGTACCTACCTGTATATATATACGGTTGTAAAAGTCAAAAGTTACCTTCCCCTCTCCGAACAAAATATATATCACATTAAAGTTCTATAAAACTTCTGCCGTTTAATTGAATTCGGTTTTGATTGCTGTGTAGCAACGCTGCAGTTATCAAAAACTTTTTCTCGGAGCTTAATCTATTCGAATATATTTTATAATGTAAACGTCGACGTATAATATTATTTATATATATTGTTCAATTTGTTATGTATATGCAACAAAAAAGCGAAATCACGACGTTGTCGTACGTGTGTATAATAATAATAATAATAACGTCCACGGTTAAATGCAATAAAACCGCTAAAAAAAAAAAAAAAAATTAATAATAACGCAACAAAAAATAAAAATAAATAAATAAACAAAAAACATTCGTTAAATGTCGGAAAATTAGTAGTGTACGTAATATTTTTGCGTTCGTTATTTTTATAATATTATTATACTTATAGGTACGGGAACGGTAGAAAAAAAAAAACAACCGTATTACACACAAAATGCTATACACTTAATGTTATATACGAAAGGCATTTAATTTATTTTACGAGTAAACTTTTAAGTTTGTTCGTACCGACACACGAACGATCATGTTGTTACACACAAACGTATACACGCGCGCGAACTGTGTGGGCACGTATACGATAATATTGTTGGACCCTTGTAGAATATGAATTGCGCCGCGGCGAACGGCACGGCCCGCAAACGAACGGCGGCGTGGATATTAAGAAAGTTTTAACAGAAAAAAAAAGTGCGTTTTATACCCGCGGTGCGCCGTACATGTCAACTCGGCCGAATTAATATTGCAAGGTACGCGGACGGAACACCGTGCGGGCCGCGGTATCGGCCCCGACCGCGCGACGTAAACTTTTTTTTCAAAACGAAGACGTGTTCGTAGTTTCGCGCAATAACGCGCGTCCGATTGTACACGGCCGGTGCGAGTACCCATGTGTTCACACACACACACACACACACCGCGGTTCTGTAAACATCGCGATAATATCATTGTTATACGACGTGCCCGCCGAGTCGTGGACACTGACGTATATAGTGGGAGGGGGAGGGGCGGACAGAATTTTAGCATTTTCCCGTTGCCGCGGCGTACAAAAACAATCGAAAATCGCGCGTTCATTTTCACGACTACGAAACCGATAACAATTAGTTTAGACGTTTAGACGTCTCGATTAATGTTGAGCAGTCTCCGTAGAGCCGAAAAAGTGTTTGTTCACACTATTTAACTATCGGAGAATTTAGGCAGTACGCGAAATCCGTTTTCTTGAACATTTAAACTTTCAACACGAAACGGTATTAGGACGTAATTACGCAAACTTAAGCGGGAAAATGGCTGATTCAGACGGCGTGGCTCGTGTTAAATCGTCGACCTTTTTTTTACCGAGACATTTTTGTCCACGTCGAAACTAAAATGAAGCAATTTTCGGCGTTCAAACGATGACGACCGTTTATGTTTCCGGTGTTCTACAAAGTGCCCGAACGCGCTACGGATCGGCCGGACAATCAGTGCCCGAACGTTCTCCGTTCAAAAAATCAATCGTTTATTATTATTTTTTCCTGTTTACGGCTAGCGTTTCCCGCACAAAGGTCGCCGCCGCCGCCGCCGTCAGAGTTCACGTGCAGATCGCTGTCCCCGTCACCGCCGATCGGCGCGACGACGACGGCCGCACTGCGACCCTTCACGTCCTATCCCCCCCGCGGCGATGGTTTCGCGGCGATCGGGACGAGAATGCGGTGACGGCGGACCAGTCCAATATAATGGGAATTAGTTTGTTTCTTGTTTGTTTATGTCAACTTAATAACTACTGCAATAAGAGCGTGTGGGCCCGACGCGACCGGAGCCGCACGTGCCGTTCGCACACGGACGGGCACGGGGGCCACGGACGCGGGGCGGCGGCGCGATTGACAAATAATAGAATAGCGAAGTATAATAATATAGTATTGTGTATCGCGAAAACGGCACGGCGGCGGCAGTATAATAATAATAATGTCAAATCCCACGGACGGGACGCCGGCGGCCAGGCGGCAGCGACGGCCACGACGACGCGCGACGGTGCCGTCTGTCGTGCTCGCGCGGCCGCCGCCGCTGCCCCGAGGCGATACATGTCGGGCCGACCTCCTCGGCCTAACCGTGCAGTTTATACGGGACGCCCCCGCCGCCGCCGCAGCAGCAGCAGCGATATTACGGCACGATTATCGTTATTATTATTATTATTATTATTATTGTTGGTGTTTCGATGTCACCGGAAGTCGCAGTATTGCCGCGGCCGGGCGCACGATCGCGTAATTATTATTATTATTTTCGTATAGAAGTTTTTCTTTTTTTTTTTTTTCGGTCCGGAAACCGCTACTTTCAACCGCCGAACAAAATTAATCATTCCCCGCACAATCGTCGATGCTTTTATTCATAATTTCACTGTATAGAGCGTTAAAAATTCTATTTGTTGTCGGTCTTGTATATTTATATTATAACGTGATACACCCTGGATACATTAATTCTTTCAGCATAATATACATGTGTTTTCGTATTCAATTGAAATATTCTTAATGCGGCGAAACCTCTCGCGGTTATAATGTCAACATTGTCTGAGCAACGTATCGCGTTCCTTTATCCAACCTACTAATAACCAGTAGACGTCCGCGAAACAGCGAACACAAATTATTCAGTATTTTGTTAAATTCGCAATTTTATTTCGGTAAAAAGTAGTCGCGTTATAATGGTTGAAAGACGGAAACCGCCAGGAAGCCCGGGAAATTCGTAAATAGCTCAACCAAAAAAAAAAAAAGACGCGGGGATAAATACTTACGCTGATTTAAAACGACTTGCTAAACCCTCGTGTCAATCGCGCACATTTGTCCCTAAAAATATTTTAGTAATAAACTATACGCATCTCTTCCGCATAGAATTGTCCTTTCAAAAAAAAAAAATGAAAGTCGTCTATTACGTATAACCCGTTATAGGTATTAGTTGGAAATCGTTTTCAATAAAAGTAATACGAGGGTTTTTTTTTTTTTTAAAAAAACTTCATTAAAAACGCTTCGGCGACAATCACCGAACTCCGAAGACTTTTAACTAAACGGAGCCGATCGTTTTACGTTAAAACGTTAAGGGAGACCACGTACACATCCGTCTCCCCTCCCGTTTCAACCGCCGGGCTACTTGCCGAAATAAATTTGTAAGCTACGAAAAAAAAAAAAAAAAACCCCGTAACGCGCTATTTACGAACCGTCGAGTTTTTCGAATCGTTTGTATTTTCGATTCTTCCGGCCCGGCGCACGGGGGGGAGGATGGGGGGAAACGCAAATACGCACGGCCGCACGCCGAAAACAAACACCCGATATAATTTCGATAATGTATTGTAGTGTTATTAATTTTATCTATTCGCTGGATGTTTATTATTTATTATGTCGTTATTATTTCCGTCCGCAGACGGACTACGGGTTATATTTCATTGCGCCGCGCCGTCGGGGTCGTGTGGTGCGGGCCGGTCCTATTGCGCATTTAATTTAAACGCGCGCGCCCGCACGCGCAATATAATATGTTCGCCGGTGGCGCGTGCCGTCTGTGTACGTACACGTCAACTGCGTTATTAAATTCGAATTAATAATTATTATTGTATTATTGTATTATTATTATTGGTATTAGTATTGCGTTGTCCAAGCGAATGCCGTTTGATTTCGGTCGACCGAACGCGCGTGTCACGTATACAAAGTAAATGTTTACGCTCGATAAAAAAAAAAAAGTACGCGCTACGCTAAATCGTAATATTAATTAACGGCATTATTACGATATGTCGTCATATTATTAAATGTTGCGCTATAATGTTACGGAATCGACATCGGTCGATCGGTGTTCGAATCGGGGGGACGGGGAGTGGAGAATCGGGGCTCAAATAAGACTGGAACTAAATCAGCATCCCTCATATCGGCGCAATTGGACCACCAAATTATGGGCACATCAAAAAGACCCGTGGGATCTATGCTCCCACAATCCCCTTTACACGGCTCCGCTACAGTCAACTACGCGTTTCATTTACAATTTTGTGTACACAAATTTATCGTAACCATTTTAACTTTATTTCTCATGTACACGTACATTATTGTCTGTATAGGAAACTTGTATTTTGTTCTGCCCGTTAATTATGTAATATAATATGGATGAAATATTTAGTCATTGTAATGAAAAAGCTGATGATAATGTTTTAAAGGCCGTAAAATGTTTACGATTTTCGTAAAAATTTGAAATTAAAAAAAATTACTATGTAAATCACTCAATTGATTACTAATTACGGACCTATAATGGACCTGCTGTTAAATTGTTAAGTATCTCGAGTAGAGTTCAAATTTTAACGATAACGCAAAACATTTCCCATGCGTTCCCCTTTAAACAAATTGTAAAAGTAATACGTTAAAATATGCGAAAAATAAGTTAAGGTAGTCCATCAGCCTGTTCCCTCACCCTTCTCCTTATTCGAGTACTGGACAATTAAATTAATATAATAGTATATATTTTAAAATAAATTATTACGAAATATCATCATTAAATTTGAATTTGTTTCCGCTTGATCGTTATTACGTGAAACAAAAAGCGTGTTTTGGCGATGCGTTGGTCGGGTTAACGGATTGCTGCGTTGGTTGTTATTCGGTTACGATATCGTCACAAAGTTTGGTTTACCGTATATAGGTACACGGTACTTTACCAACGGACGTCAAGTATATATAGGTAACCGAAGTCAATAAACGTAGTTTTTAATAATTGTTTACCTAATGTAACATTTTAGAGCGGATTGTCAAATAAATTTTATAAAAAAAAAAAAAATCCCGAAAAAAGTCAATATAGACTTTCCAAGACGACGAGTGTTTTATAGAGAGGGATTGATCGCCCTAGACGAATTCGCCGAGTCAGTCCTATAAAGTCTGAAAAAAAAACTCAGAAGTAAAAACGATTATAGTATTTTCTTTTGCGGTAGATATTTTAAATTGTATATATATATATATATATATATAAAAAAAAGACTGAACGCGTCTAGTCGTTCAATGTATACAATGCGCTTACTGTGTGCGCAGCGCTCGGAGTGTGTTTCGCGGGGTACCGGGTGCAGGTGTACGGAATTCCGTTTAAAAAACATTTCAGGGTGCTCTCAATAGTTTTTCATAATGGAAATAACGAACGGATTATTATGTATAAACGGACGCAAAGACTCTTAAATCGTCGGTTACTCGCGTTATTTTTGTTTTTGTTTTTTTTTTTTCACACTTTTGCATCCCCCTTATAATAACCGTTTTCCGATTCGGGTACGCTGTGCGCGCGTGTGTGTATCGACATTATAAGAAAAAAAACCCATGTGTAATATAATATTATATATAGGTAGTAGAAAAAAAAAAATTGACGTTTCTCGGAAGTCATAAACGATAATGCAATAACATAATTTGTTCGATTTAAAATCACGCACATAATAATTAGAACATAATAATATTATAGCATTATCGATCATCTAATTATTGACATTGTAATGTCTTTTTATATATATATATATGTATACACGGTACGTAATGTGAGATTGCTGATGCATCGCATCGGATTGCAGCGGCAGACGGCAAATTATATCATTATTACGAGTATCATATTATTATATTATTGTTGTTATTATTATCGTTTTAACGTAATCGCCTAATTAAATAAAAGAGTTTTAAGATTTTTTTTTTTTATACTTAAATATTATATAATTCTATAATTTAAAAAAAAAAAAAAATACAAATATAAATTAACGATTATATAATGTTATTAATTATAATGATAATTCTGTATAATAATATTTTGAAATTCAGACGAATCAGATAATATATATACTTTAAAACGCGTATAAAAACCAATTGGTTTATTCATTTGAACGTATATATAGATAATATAATAATATTGGTCCCGTTTGATTTTTTTTTTTTGATTTTTTATGTAAAATAATTGATATTTATTCGAAGAAACGACAATTCACGTACGCGTACTTTGCGTCTGTTTCAGTGTTAATAAGAACTATTAATATTATTTTTTATGCTGTCGAAAAATCGTGTACATATATACACGACTATAAAATAGTATAGGCACCTGATTAATTTTATAATTACGCGTTCTATATTTCGAAAAAGAAATCGAAAGAGCATAAAATGAACAATAAACTCCCGATTTTAATGATGCGTATTAAATCACGCACTTTGTTTTTAGATAATATGCCACTAAACGCTGCAGTTGTTGCATGGGTCACTGTCGAGAAAATGGAAATAACTTTTTTAAAATTGAAAGCTTTGTATATATAGATGTTTAGAAATTGAATTTTTTGTTTCTTTTCAAACTGGTTTTTTTATTTATTTTTTTTAAAGTTTTTATTGTTTAATTCTCTCTTGCCGTAGGAATGTAACGGGTGTTCGAACAAAATAGAGACGTTATTTTAAAAATGTCGAGACTTTTCTTAATAATAATCAGAAAAAAAAAATCACAAATCACTGTTATTAAGCGATTTTGAGGTTAGTGTCTGGTACTGGTCTGGTTAATAAAGTCATTAGTAGTTATCAGTAATTAGCATCTATACCTATTAAAATACAATAGCAGGGCCGTGAGGTTGTTTTGTTACCCGTACCCCCTCTCCTTTCTGCGTTTTATAATTTGTCAGAAAAAGTTTTGATATTGTAAAGTGTGTAGTTTTACCTAATTAATTTTTACCTATTTTTTACTACGTCATTTTTATAGCATATTCTAGCACATATTCGTCAATTTTTGAGTGAATTAAAACCGTGTTTATAGCTCGTGAAAATCGACATTTAATAGGTACTGAATACGACTATAGTACGAGTATATTAAATATACTATTGTGTACTAACAGTGTTAAACGCGGTAAGTGTCTGTAGCACATTAGTTCAAACAAATTGTAAATCACCGATAATGTTTATACATAAAGACAGAAATTCCATCATAGGACAAACATGAGGTTGAACTATACTTTCAAGTGGCACACCCGGAATAAGTTTTCGTGCGAGAGGGGGCGGGGTATTGTGTTCTGAATTTCCGGACAGGTTATCGGGTTAATAAACCGCTAAACGGGTGCGTGACGTATACGAGCATTCAAAATAACAAGAAAATGTCTGCAATTGAAACAGAAATAATTATCCGACAATACCACGATGGTTTTATAGACGTAAATTAAAACAATTGTTACGGATGAAACGTTTCGAATGTTCTGATTCAGTGGCGAGTATCGGCATAAGCCTTTTGACCCGATATTTCCCAGGTAAAACGTCTTTCGAAAACGATTTTAAAAAAAAGAAGTTAAAAAGTCGAATTTTCGACCGATTTATTGTCTTGTCATTTCGATGCCGACTCGCTTTTTGCGATTTAAAATACCGGATCGGACAAAACGTACACCGAACATTACGCATACATACCGAATTAATGTATCCGAGATGTAGGCCGGTATCGGAAAAAAGTCATGTCGGCTCACCGCTCTATTTTTTTTTTTCGGAAAACGTTTTTATATACTGAACGAAAATTCGGAAAATAACCGCATTAATATCAGCGCGATTATCGGCGCGTAATTACCACAGTAAAATAAAAACAAAAACAGTGGCAACGGACGACCCGCGCCAAGTATTAGGTGACAATTACGAACACGAAATCACGTAATGATAAAATCGAATATTACGTCGGTACCTACGGCGGCATGCGTATATACATAATAATGATATTACGGACGTTTGTGTGCCCGTTTAAACGCGCGGAGGGGAAGTGGATGGGAAAGGGTCGAAAAAGTACCCGAAACGTAGTACGTGCGCGCGTGTGTGTACGTACGAACCCGACGAATGGTCTGCGAGGAGCGGGGAGGGTATTGCGGAAAGAGCTCACCGTGTCCCCGCGTCCGCTCGGGTCCCTTTAGCCGCGGGGCGTCTGTGTGTGCGCCGGAGGTTATTTTTCTACTCGCTACTCTCCCGCTCTCTCTCTCTCGCCGCCCCTACCCCCTCACCCATCCCCCCGTGCTCATCGCCGCGCGGCAAACGCAAATTGCTTGTTAATCTGCCATTCATGTCCCGGGAAATGCAATTCGGATCCTCCCCCAGGATATATTCACCGTCCCCGCTACACACACACACACACACATATGTATAAACACCGGTCCCCGCAGCCGAATATCTCCTCCTCGCGTCGTCGCGCGCCGTCGTCACCGGCCGCCGCCCTACTCCCCGGAAAAACCGGCCGCCCCGCCGACGCCTGGTCTTGTGCGTGTGTCTGCTCTGTCTCCCCGCGTCCGCCGTCATCCCGCGACGACCTGGGCGGCTCATTTTACAAGTTTAACGTCCGCATAAACACAATATAACGATTCTCGTTCAACGCCCGCGATACGGCCGCGCGCGCGGTGCTGTGTGTATACGACACGGTGCACACGAGCGCGCGCGCTGTATACACAACACGACACCTATTTACCTATTATGTCGTTACGATATTATTGTGCGCGTCATTATCGTACGCCGCACGCACGTAAGCCGGTCTTTCTCGGAGCTTTCGTCCCGCGGTCTCGAGTATCCCGCGTTCACCCGGTTACCCCTGTCCGGGGTGGTCGCAAAACCTTATTTCGAAACGTTTCGGACGTTCGGAAATTGAATTACCATAAAACGCAATAAGCTGCGAAATATCTTCCGGATAGTAAAGACGTTTACGTACAGTTCCTACTGTTCGTCACTATGAAGGCCCACCACCGGCCGGCTGGGGAGCCGAAATAGTGAGAGAGACGAAGCATTGAATCGACCCACCGACGTCAACCAAAAACCTAGTCGGTACCACGGGCGGGGGAGCCCCACTTCACGCCGGACAGGCCAGCCGCTCCGTGCTTAGTGCCCCCAAGGTTGAGGACCCTACCTCGGCCGAAACGTGGTGGTTATGAGACCGGCGCAAGATAGTAACTCAAACCACTATACCTAATGGGTGATCGGGAACCCATCCAGGTTGTGAGAAAGGTACGGGCCCAAAAGGCCCGGGGCCGGTGTTCCCTTCGAAGACTCTGGACCGGCGGTGATTCGCCACCATCGCTTCAGCACTACGTCCGCTCGCAAGTAGCGCCCAGTGACGAAACCCCGGGGACCAGCTGTTCGTCACTATAAACGTTTAATAAACGAAAATAAACAGTTCATATATTGGTACTTTTCGATGGACGAAGAAAGGACATTTGTTTCGATCGATCGGTATTTTACGATAATGCCGAAACGATTCTATTTATAATTAACTGTTCCCATAACAAATGATAATTAAATAAAATAACGTTTAAAACGTGCACGATTTTTACGATTAAAAACACGTTTAAAACGAACAGAACACCTTTTATTTATTTTTTGCGACCCTATCCCTACAACGTCCCCGTACCGCAGCTGTACCGGATTATTATCGTTTTGAAACCAAAATATTATCTATTGTCGGGTCTATAATATTATGATTTAAAGCGGTCGAATTGCACCACGAAACGCCGCTTACAATGTCCATGTAAATTGGCGGTGCAATAGCGATGCGGTATATGAATTATGATATCAACCGCTGCAGTTTTTGACGAGACCATTTTGACAAACTACGTGTCCAGTCATTATTGTCCGGAAAAATTATGGAATTTTTCGGACCAGATAACATCGTATCGTAATTAATAAATTGTTAATTATGAATAGTGAAAGACTTTATTTCGTGGGTGCCAGCAGGCTCCTCGGGCTCCACCAAGTCCGGTTCTGACTACAATATATCCTATAAATAATTTATCGTATAAATATAAAATATTCATTATTATGCGATTTTGTTCTTATATTACAATACATTTTGGACTAGCGGTATTGTAGTTCCTTAATAATAATTGATATGACGGTTAAAAAAACAATGTCCCTGCGATTTGTCAGTGAAATTATACTGTTATATACAATGACATACTGAAAAAAAATAAAAATGATTTACTTTATATTTTCTGGGTATAATGCTACGAACCGATAGAGCAAAAATGTATAATAATAATACTATTATCCGAGCGTGGGGGGGGGTCTTAGTCTTTGAAGGTTCATTATATTCTGTCCCTTTAATGTTATCATTATTTTTTTTTCCTGGGACATAAATTATGTTGTTGCATTATTTATCTAAATATCTACAATATTATTTAGAAAACGAAAAAGTATTATATGTTAATAATTGTCTAGTGTTTTATTAGCTATTACCGCAGTGAATCGGAACAATACAATAAATATTATCGAAAGACGTATCGTCGTAGCAAAATGTATTTACCTAAACAAATTTTATTATTATTTTACTATACAAATACTAAACGCGCGTAAAATTAGACGCGCCACTATTTGTTTTTGCACTTTATTATGAAATTATTATTATCGGACATCCGCGTCGTGGCATTTTCGCACGCATTCGAATTTGGTATTCATAAATGATGTGCACGTTTAGCGGTGGCGACCGATGATGATTTTTAATCGTTTTTGCTTCTCGTAGTAATATTCGCACTCGAATGAATAGCTGGTATACCTATACGCCCGTACATTATCATCGAGGGTTCCTTATATAATATGTGGCTGTACAATAATACGCAGTGGCGTATTCGAGAGATTTTCCAAAGGGCTAAACGTGTTAAATTCAATTAACCGCGAACCGTTGCAAGTTGTAAATAATTATCTATACATTTATTATTGAAAGCTTTTGCAAAATACATAATCGCGTGTACACGCCTATTGTACTGTTACAATATTATTTGTAATCAGTGCTTCCCCTTGTGGGTACGCCCCTGTTTACGCGGTTAATCTTTGCAATTATTATTATCATTATAAATATAATTCAGCGATAATAACGAAACGGAACGTATAATAGGTACGCTACAATCTGCAGCAGTGCTGATTAGAAAAATGATCGATATTTTTTTCTAGATAAACGAGAAAGATAAGTATAAAAATAAGATAAATTTCGGTTGTTTTGATAGCACAAAAATGATACTAAATCGAGCCGCAGCGTAGATCCAGTCCGTTTAATATACAAAATGTGTATTGTTGATTATACGAATATCAAATGTGTATTAATATACACAAAACACGACGAGAATTTTTTCGAAATAATATTCACGAACTACCGATATAGGTTACGGAGTGAAAAAAAAATCGAGTAGATTTTGACATTTCGATTTTATACATAATTCAAATAAAATATGATACGGTACGTCCGTTATCTATTGACGATTATCTAGATCAATTTTCTTTTAGTAAGTAATCTCGACGGGATTACGACGGCTTGCGCATTTCGCCACGTGGACGCGCGCGGAATGCGTTGTCGCTGGAGGAACGCGGGGCGCCCCCCCCCTTTTTCCCCCCCGGCGTACCGGCCTTGCAGCCGGGACGCACAAACGGCGAGCGCGCTTTTAGAGTCGGACTCGGCGCATAAGGCAGGCGCGAGGATACGTGCGCGCCCGTTTACGACGACGACGTATTACCGCGTGCTTAGCTATACATAATATTATTATATTGTATATTATCCGTTTACGTACGGAATTATATTACGCGCTCAGAAACGCCGCGAGCCGGAGCCGGAGACGCGAGAGGATATTGGGTATACGCCGAGACAAACTTAATTATCGACCATCGGCCGTTCAAAGACCCCCTCCCCCCACCGACCCTCACCCCGCTCCCCGTAATTCCCCCTCCACTCCGTTAAACCCTTTTCCGTGATGCCGCAGCGACCTCTCGCCGTCGCGCCCGCTCACTATATTTATTATACGTTATACAATATTACATTATAGGGGTACACGTCTGTTGCCCTCGTCGCCGCCGCCGTCGCTTTTATACGCATCGTTCGACTCGTCGGCGGCGGCGGCGGCGAACGCGTCAGTTCCGCCTACGGTATAAACTGCAGGGTATAATAATTAAACCGTTGGATTAATGTCGGCTAAATCGAGTGTTAAATTCATTAAATTTCGCAAAGTCCGCCCGCGGCGACCGATGCAGTGGCGGCGGCGAGTGTGTGTATACACGTTGGGGTGCGTGCGTGCCGGTATATATAATATATATATATATAGGTAGGTATTCCGTATAATATATAAACATATATATGTACGCGCGGTAGATTGGGGTGACGGTGGCCGGTCGGGACGTCTCTCTGATGGTACACAAACGAGCGCGCGAGAGGGGAGTAATGGCGGCGGTTGGGGCGCTTTATAGGTCGCCATTTTCAGCGTCGTCGTCGTCGTCGTCGTCGAGGTTGCCGTTTCCAGTCCGCCGCCGCCGCCGCCGCAGTCTCTTTCCGCGCGTATATTATCCGTCCGTCCGTCCGTCCGTCGTCGGTCTTTCTTCTTCTCGTCGCGCCGCGACCTATCGCCAATCGACGGTCCGCGCGACGGACTTCCCATCACGTCGCGCGTCCTTTTGTGCGCGACGACGGACGATGCATAATAATTTATTATAAATAACCTACCTACCTACCTACCCGTATAATTTATGTATACGCAGTTGAAATCGGTAAAATATTCGCGGATAAATAATATAATGTATATAGATGACCCTTGTGACTGTACCGAATACATATTTCGGACGACCAATCGGACACGCGGGTAGGTCGGACCGAATATAATGATAAATACGATTACGGTTTTAACCTAACCGGACAACTATTACAAAATCGAATCGTCGAGAGAGAAAAAAAAACGATCATAATATATAATCATATTCGAAGGCTACGTTTGAAGTTTTTATTTTTTTTTTTTTTGAACACTAATTTTAATCGACCACTTAGTATACATTCAGATACTATTTATTTTACAGGTTCCTAATACATACTAATCGATATGTCAAAAATTAATACACGAGTATATCTAGTCCAGTGGCGGAACGAACCCCCTCCCAATAAACCCAGAAGCAACATATTATATTATAATCAACTCGGTATCCACCCACCAATATATTTTCCAATATTTCCAATATATCTTGATAATTTTATCTATTTTTACTAAATCAGTATAATAAACGAGTAGTAATATTTAATTATTTTCATATTGACCAGTGAGCACATACTCGCCCTGTGAATCTCAAAAAAAAAAAAAAAATCGAGAAACAACTTCTGGAAGACCGCGTTCGTTTCGCCACTGATACTGTTGATATTATAAATATATTACATTACATATGGTACCCATATCAAACAAAACATAAATTGACAAATAAATGAAAAAGTTTACGTTCCAGTTTCGCTTGTACACTATTTAATTATATTATCAATGTTGTTTAGTTTGTATTACCTACTATTATTTTTCTCATGAAAATCGCCGACGGGAATTACGTCTTTGTATTATTATAATTTAAAATTAAAATCGAGTTTAAAAAAAAAAAAAATTAATATTATATTGTGATTTAGCGCTTTTATGAATTATTTAGCATCCCTATATTATATAATATAATACTATACAGTCAATATTATAAAATATTCGTTGCTCAATCCGAGCAGTAGGTATTTGCTTAGGCCGTATACTCGTATTTATAATATTTTCATTTGAAGTTTATATAGATTTTTTTTTTCTTCGGTTGAATGGATTTCTTTTTAAATATATACATTTCTTGTTATTGTACAATTACGCGACCATCACAAATTTTATATTTTTATGTATATTATACTATCTGAATTACCCGATATTCCCCGGGCTCATCTGAAAAATGGGATACGTGTTATAATTATTAGAGTTTTTATGAACCCTGATTTTTAAGGTCGAATCGAACCGAATTTTTAAAATATTTCATCGAACTCGAACATTAATAAAGTAATAAGGTTAAGGTTGGGTTAGGTCAAAAACCTAGGTTCTCAAACTGCTCGATTCCGTGATATGCGATTATGAGACTCACTAATGCGAATAAAATTTAAGATTCTTCTTTTAAGGTAACAAGCTCTACCATCCTCCCCCCTCCTCCACAGAAAATCGTATTGGTGACCGTACAGAATCGGCATCGAATAATTTTTGGACCGAGATATTGGGTATTTGGTTCGGTTCGATTATTTGCAATTTTCAGTTCGGGTTTAGTACTGAATCGAACACCCCGAGTTCGGTTCGGTTAGATTCGAAAATCGAACATTTCGTCACATCTCTATAGTTTTAATAACTAATTATAGTTAATAATAAATCGAATTGAAAGTTTGTCTGCAGTTTCGTCCGGTAAATTATCGACGAACAAGAGGGAATTTCCAATTGATCGTGATTTAACGACTTAATTTAAAAAATAACGGCTATTTTCGGGTATTTCAGCCGTGTGTCGCTAAGGTAATCCAGAAATTTACCAAAAAAAAAAAAAAAAATCCAATTTCTCTCTTATTAAAAATATGATAAACCAATAGGCGAGAACCGTCCTTAGGGTGTTAATTTTCGAGATCAAAAGTAGATAACTCGCTTGTATCGTTCATATTTTGAATGTCGAGTTCGTAATGTTTCATCAATATCGGAATAAAACGATAGCTCGAAGACTCGGCAGACATAAACGCGCACAGACAATTTTATCCATTATATTGTATTGTGTTGTAGACGGAAAATAAAGATCGATCCGCGGTATGATTTGTATACAATATATTATACGATAATAATAGAGGTATAGCGAATCGAAACGTAGTTAAATTCGGTATTCGCGGGACATAAAGTTGTTACAACGATTTAAAGACCTCCCGAAACCACCCCCGGGGGTCCCGAGGGAAACTTAATTAACTTACTGCGTATACGATCCGTGGGCGGGGCGGAGGGTGGGAAGGAGAGCAAAACTCCGCGTCGCGACGAAAAGCAGGGGGATTTTAAACGGACCGCGCGCGCCAAGAGATGAAAGGCAAAGGGGACGCGAATTATTCCCGAGATAATTATTTCTTCCAGTTTATTATGCGTATTATAAACACTGCGGCAATTGTTTTGCGGGGTTAACCGAAATACATAATAATTAGAAATAAAGGGGAAAAATCCATTTACGCGAACTAGATATATATATACGCGCGTATACGCGTAATACGTAATTGTTGGTAATGCTAATATTATATAAATAATTGTAATTTTTGGTTGCCACGGTATGAAAGCGTCTATACAATTATTTAATAACAAAACGTAATTATAATTATTAACATTTCGTTAAATTATTAATATAAAGCTTTTATATTACGATATAAACGCGTATACAACGAAAACAACTATACAACCGTATATACTTACGCTGTATTACCGGGCGACATAATAAATTAAATACTACAGTTTTCAATGTACAATTATTCCGGAATAAATTACGATAAAAATAATATTGGCTTTACGTAGACAAAAAATCTATATATTCATATCTGCATCTACATTTTTGTATTACGCGAACAATTAAATTTTAATTTCAATAATAGCCGATTTATTTTATGATGGAAATTATATTATTACAAGTTCTTATATTTATTTTAAAAATCAATTTTTCGTATAATTTATTATTTTTCTCGTCTTGTTCGTGTACCACATAACATAATATTGTGGCGACGACGATTTTTATTAACACGCTCAGTAGAAACTTAAAATCATTTCCTTTAACGCGCACACCGTATCCAAAAAGAGCTAAAATAAACCGGAATAATGCAATTTACGTATAAGGTATTGTATATTTTTATAACAACTATGGCCGGTTTAATTGAAAATTCTCATAATAATGGTTTCGAAAATACGTTTTTAGAATCTAAGTTTGTTTTGTACAGTTTGATGAAATTCGATAAACGAACTGGTACTGATCAATTGATATATGATCAGTATGTCAAAATAAAACATATGATAAACAGTAATACGGTTACCATGGGAATTGTGATAATATTGATATCAATTTCAGTCAGAATTTTTTTTTCCTTGTTGTCTTATTTTTAGTACATCCCACTACAAATGGTGTAATTTTTAGATTTTGAGTAGAGCGAAAAAGCTTTTGGTTTTACAATGATGTTTATTTTTTTATCTGTAGACAACTTTTCTACCAGCAATTTCGCTCCGATTTTCAATGACAACACTTTTTCTGAAAAGAAATCGGACTGGGGAGTTTCCCGGTAAATGTGTAAAACCGGAAAAAAACATTGGGAAAACGAGAAAATAGATACAGTATTAAAGCAAAAAAGCAAATACTATGTAATACATATATATAATTATTTTACCACAATTTGATATATATATATATATATTGTTAAAAGAGCAACACTATCAACCGAACTCCGCTCAGAATCGGTTTTTCGTTAGCAATGGTTTATATCGTTGTTATTACAGATATACGTTAGAATATTACCTATAACAGTGGTTGCACCCGTCCCCGTTATCCTAGGACAGTTTTTTTTTTTTATTCAGTACAAGTCTCTTCATATCCCAGTGATACCGATGTGGATGTTAAATTTTCATTTTTTAAGTACCGTGTACATTGTAGTTCGTCCCCAATAATATTCCGGTACAAACGTTCAATGGTCGAATTCATTATGAATATAATATATAGCGCGTTAATTGCACGAAATAATACTCGACAACGATTAACGATTAGCGTAATACGTACCGGCCGACAGTCGACGGAGGACCGGATGGACAAGGGAGTGTGATTGTGCGCCGGTAATCGCCCGCGGTGTCGACAAATGAACGTTTTTCGTTCGGTAATTATACGTTGGGTGGATCGCGAAAAATGACGGCGGATCGTTTGTTACTATGCGAGACCAGCGAACTAGACGGGTGGATCGCTCACGACACCGTTGCCGTACCGCAGTTTCGGCACGCACTCTCGTGATTGTGGCTGGGGGAGGGGAGGAGGGGTGGCGGGTGGCGATCAAATAAATTTAATGAAAAATATAATAAACGCGCGATAGAGACGAAGCGTAAATACTAAAAACCTCGCAGGATTCGATAATCGATTCTCGCGCGACGCGACGTCGGCGATTGCGGTGGTGGTGGGGGGGGGGTGTCGCCGCGATCCCCGGGACGGCGCTTTCGCGCCGTGTACACAATATTATAACGTTACTCGCGAAAAAGCGCGTTAAATATATATATATATATACATTTATAACGACCGTCGTTTTTATTATTATTTATATATATATATACGCACGTATACGCACCGCACCGAAGGGTCTGCGGGGATAACGCGCGGTCCGCGGCCGCCCGTAACAAATAGCGCGCGGCGGCGGCCCCGAAAAACATTCTTGTGGGAAACGAGTCAAGTGTGCCGGGCAGAAGGATATATAATGGATGTGTGCGTGTGCGTGTGCGTGTGCCTGTGCGTGTGTGTGTGTGCGCGCGCGCGCGCCCGCCCGCTCGTATATATATATATATGTACAGCGCGGTAGTGTATAGCGGTAGTAGTCGGCGATGCTGGGGGCTGCGGCGGCGGTAGTGCGGCGGCGCGCGCGGCGGGCGACGACGGTGCGGCGTACCGGAAAACGCGATTGTTTTTATTTTTCTTCCCCTCCGCGGCGGCGGGCCCCGTCACGCGCAAACGCGTCGCCGCCGCGGCGAATAAATATGATACGATTAACGGCAATTTTCGCGCGTCCCCGTCCGCGCCCATCACGCGCCGCGCCGCCGACCCGTACACAACGCTCGGGTCGGTCCTCCGCTTTAGCCGCCCGGCGCCGGGCGTGTTCCCGTCGAAATCTCTTCCAGATCCCATCGCTCGCCGCCGCCGCCGCCGCCGCCGTCGTCCGGCGAACAAACCATATAGAAGACCGGCCGTCGCCGCTGTAAGGTTAATACAAAAGACTGCCGGGCCGACAACGTTTTTTTTTTTGTTTTTTACCGATACCCGATATTTGAAAACAAAAACCATCGCGGGTCTCAATAGCGAAATCGGTATACATCCATAGTCTGTTGTTATTTTTTTTTTTTTTTTTAATTTTCTTTTTCTGCGGACGTTGGAATTGGGCATTCGTCCACGAAAGTATCGGGTCAAATATCCGACACGGTATCGATCCGCCCCTAAAAAAGGACTGACGGACACGGGGACATTCTTCGGGTAAATCGGTTAGGTTGAATTCGATCGGTTTGGGCGCTAGATAATTAGATAGGTTAGGTTAGGTCAAACCACAATATTCTGGTTTTTTCCTCCAATGCTTCCACGTGATCACGACACTCTGAAAGTTTAGTTTAATCGAAAAAGGACTAATTATATTGTTTATTAAAAAAAAGATCATTTACTTTAATACGCTTCAACTTAATGATTTTTTTTTTTTTAATATTTTTGTTTGTCAATGAAATAAATAATTTTAAAAATTAAATAATACTAATTAAAATTAAGAGAAATTAAAATATATATAATAATAAAAAAAAACACTGAAAACAAATGTTCGTTTGTGTATCGTTATGATAATGTATAGATAAATAAGTTAAGTACCTAGATAATTGAATATTAACAAAACAAAACAAAATCGAATAGCCCACTTTAAACATGCAAAAATATTTGATACCCGCTGTACTTTATCCGATTGTATCCGCTATCAAAAATACTGGCATCTAGACATTCTCCCAATCCCTCTATATTACCACCCCTATGTTTAAATTTTCGCTAAATTGAGCATCATAATGTATCAAACACGTGCCCACCCGCCGACTGTATCCGCCACAGTTTTCTGTATCCTGTCCAAGGAGCATAGCCCCTTTAGCCAAACTTCCGACATACTGTATCTTAGCTGTATCACAAGAGTACCTGGAGCCTAGGAGCGAAGCCATAGAACCCTGTAAAAAATTGATGTCTAGACTTTTTACCTGTTCCCGTATCTTAACTAACTTCTTCCGTATCCTTATTCCTTATTTCTTATCCTTATTCTCTCAGTATTCTAAATGTGTTTTCCCTTCTCCTGTATTTTACTTACTCCTGTATTCTATCCGACAAGTTTTGACCAACAGCTCGTCCAATACTATAAAATGAGTTATTAATATGTAATTTGTTAGTTTATAAATTTTTTTTTTTTTTCAGAGATATTAAATATGAGTTTAATCATATTATTATTTTTGTCTTTCTCGAAATAATGATAAAAATTTGGATGAGTGCCCTTTCCGTACTTATCGATTAATTTGATGATAAAATTAATTTACCTTATATATTAACATTTGCGATGATCAACGGGGCAAAGTACAGCGGGAGGGTTAGGATATTATATTATTTGTGGATACGTTTAAATGCAAACGTCACATCCATTATATTATAATTTAACTGCAAGTTCTGGAGGAGGTATCGTGCGTGCACACACACACACACACACACACACACACACATACCCGTCGTATACACGTACACATATAGAATATACATTAGTCTATTTCAATGCAATTTCTGAATCTGCTGATTAACTATCAAATTATAATCTAACTGATTAAATCACAGTGCCAATTAATGACTATGATTAAATAACGAAATTCGATTTTAGATTGCAATCTGCTGTAGTAGAAACATTTTATGTAATTCGTTTTGAGTTCAATCTACTAAATTTAACACGCACGTAGGTATAGGTATATGTAATTTGAAATCAACTCGTTTTTGTTAAGTCGCATAATAAATTGTTAATAATTAAAACTTATTAAGGTATTGAAAAAGAGTGTTTTTTAATTTTTTATTATTATCAATTATTAGTTACTCTATATTTTATTACTGTTTAGCTACAAAATAACAATCAATACAATTTTAGATTCTGATTATAGTGTGTTTTTTTAAATTGGTAAACACTTTTTGGGTTTGGTAAAAATTATAAATTGTTGGTTCTAAATATTATTCGTATTGTACCTTAAAAGATGTAGGTTTTTCGTCCAATGATACTTCATTTAGAAAAAATTCTAGATTTCTAATAGTTTTATCTATTTAAAAAGTAAAAAAATCTGACAAATGTCACAATACATCGGATTAATTTTTGTTGATTTCTCGGTTATATCAAGTATAGCTTCATTTTTCGATTTCAGTGATTATTAACATTAAAATATTACCCTATATCCTATACGTATACTTATCAAACTTCCCATTTACTGCAGTAGTTGCAAAGTACGTCCGGGGTTTTAAAAAAAAAAATTTAATCAGTATACTGTTTTACAACGACGACTTACATAGAATAATATCAATCATCGTCGATAATATCATTATCACTAATTTAGTTAAACTAATGTCAGAAAATATTATACGGAATGTTAAATGCGTGTACATCATAATTATTATTATTAATACTGAGTTAATTGCAACAGTATATCATTAAAAGACGCGTATATCATTATTATTATTATAACTATTAAATTAGTTATTATTTAATGGCATTTAATACTTTTTTCGATAACGTCAATGTGATTATAAAAAAAAAAAAAAAAAAAAAACAATGACATGTCGGTAGCTAATAGTCGCAACGGTCTATTGTCTACATTACGCGTAATATAAATTATATTACAGGTGGATGATGATACTCTTAATCGATTTATAAAAACAGGAGAGTGGGGGACGAATACTACAAACATAACTTCTATTGAACCAATATATTGGTTACGCGCGCCAAACATATTATAAAACATTGCAGTTACCTGTATAACCTGTACGGTATTATAATGACCGAGTAAAACATTAATTCGCCCACGGAAATAGGCATATAATACATAACGTTTTGTTTTTCACGCCCTTGCACTGTATTAGTGCGTGAATTAACGTTACGAGGAATGGAAGAAACGAGTTTTTTGAAATAGAAAACGAAGGGACCCGTTTTAATTAAAACATAAACGGTATTAAAACGCAGTAATATATTCTCGGTTTACCACACGACGCTGTATGTGTTCCTAATTTTTCAAAAGATAAAACGTCCACTAAAACGAACGGTCAAATATTGTATACAACGAATCGGCGCTGAAAAACGTTGAAATCGCATGTTTTTTATTCTCTGAGCTGTTTATTTCCGAAAACAACACGGAATAATGGATAACGCGCATTGTTAGTATTCGTTTAACATTACTGTCGAATCGTCGAATTTTTCGAGATTTGTATGTAAAATGTATTTGTACATAAAGAATGTAATTGGTGTTATTAGATTTTCTCCCGCAGTAACATTATATAATTACAGTGCCATCAGAGCAAGCTAGGTTTAACATTTATTACGCTAAACGATAATGCGACTTGTATATTAAAATCACTACTATTTACTAATTTCCATACGAGCATTCAATTTAAAACAATTCATTTTTTTTTTTTTGTACGGACAATTTCTTTACGGAAGCGCTCGTATCGTTATTGTAGGAATGACCGGCTGTAGTAGAAAAGGATATCCCCGTTTTTTATATAGTGATTGAAAGCACTGTGTGTAGAACGCTGCGATATTTTTAAAAAACCTAGGTAATTCCAATATCTAGCTGTTGCATATCGGATCATTATCATTGTCAGTACACTTTGGTTATAGTACACGGGTAAATTGATTATTAACATTACTTTAATAATAATATATTTATGAAACGAGAAAGACTAATGGTTTTTTTTTCTTTTCCATAAATTAATTTTTAATTGTAGTTTTTATCTGTAAAATTCTTTTTTTGTTTTTTAAAGATATTAGTTGAAGTTTTATTTTAGCGCCTATCCAATATGAAATATCACGGCACGTCACTGATTATAAAACCGATTTGGTTTTCAAAACTATAACACCTTATTTTATCATAACACTAATCGTAACTGTTTAGCCGGGACGCATTCGGCGATATCGCAAAAACATTGGACGGGGAGAAAAGAACAAAACGGAAACTCACCTGGACTCTGACTTCGGGCAAATTGACCTTCATGGCTAACTCTTCGCGGCTGTACACGTCCGGGTAGTGCGACTTTTCAAACGCCCGTTCCAGTTCGTGCAGCTGATAGGTGGTGAACGTGGTGCGGTTCCGGCGGTGCTTCTTCTTGTCGGGCGGTGACATACCGCCGGCCGCGGCCGCGGGCGACGCGCTCGCCCGGCCGCCCGACAGATGTTCGTCGTCCGGTTCGCCGTCGCTGCTGTCGCCACAACCGCCGCCGCTTCCGTCGTCCATGTCGCCGCCGCCGCCGGACCGTCTCTGCTGCGGGCCGCCGCCACTGCCGCTGCCGACACTGACACCGCCGCCAATGCCGCCACTACACATTTGTTCGTCGAGCGGCGACTGATGGTGCTGATGACGGTTGTGTTCGGCGTCACTCGAATTGCAACTGTTTTCCCCTGTAGTGTAACAAAGTTATTTGTTTATTTTTTTTTTAGAAAATTATTATTTCATAAATAAAGTACCGCGTGTACCGGCGGGAAATCCGCTTTTTTAAGTTTTATGTACGGTGCATACGTGTCGGAGGATTATTACTATCCGAAAAAGTAAATGTAAAAAAAAAAGAAAAAAAAAACACAGATTTTTAAATCCAAACTCAAATCGCCCCGTTCAGTATCTAAAAATAACTGCTCATCGGAACGATTTCAACTTAGTACGACTCGAAAATAAATTGATTTTGAATGATTTCTGCTCAATCCTCGTAATATAACGCGTTTAGGGTCAAACTGTGTAATCACGGTACTAATGGGTGATTTTGAATTTCACCTAGTTCGTTTATTCGTTTAATCACGATTAAGAACTAACCGGCCGAATTTTGGCATGTTGACGTTCTTTAATCACGGTTAGTGTGTTTATTTTGATATATTATATATTATATATTATATATATATATATATATATGTATATGTTTTTTTTAATTGTGTGATACATTATGATAACACTTTGCGAAATCAGTTCGTAGCATTATTATAAATTATAATAAAATAATTTGTAGTGGTACGTAGTAGTGGTTTTATTTTATTGTTAACTATTTTTTAATTTTTAAAATTCCTTGGGTATATCGACGATATTGCGGAAAATCCTCAGCAATTTTGACCCACTATATACGTTTTTCATTCTTATACTCGCCCGCCTCAAATTCAATGACATTATAATGTTGCGATACGGTGTTTAAGATCACTACTTTTTCGGGGAGTATTCGTATTACCGTTCCCTATAGTCATTTTGAATGCATTTATACCCGAATAAAAAAATAACGGACGTATTTCGCACGATGGGTGAGGGGAAATTTAATGTATATCTGAACGTTACGGCTAATCATTGCTAGGTAACGAAAAACGATTTCGCTCGGAGTTCAGTTTTATATGTGTTTTTTAGAAGGTTGTAATATTTACGATTTGAAAATAAATAAATTTCGTAAATTTTCCCGTTTTTCCAAATTTCTGGTAGAAAAGTTGTTCAGAGAAAAAAAAATATATAATTGCAAAACCAATACATTCCTCACTTTACTCAGAATCTTAAATGTACAATATAAAGTAAAATGTAAATCAATAGAAAATCGAAATCGAAAACGAGAAAAATGCGCGTACTTTTATGTATAGACCTTTGTCCTGTTGTACAGTGTCTGTCAACTGATTAAAGGTCGGTCAAGTTAACCGATTGACCTAGATCGGTTAAACGACGATTAGTTAATTTGTACGGCATTTTTGTTATTATAACTACCAATATTGTTATCAATTATTATTTATCACTTCAATTAGAAATTTAAATACTGTTCTCTTATTTTTGTTAATTATGTTCATGTTTTATTATAACCGAGCCTAAAGTTGAGCGTCCGTACCTTTTAATTGTATTTTTAAATTACATAATTATATGAATTACATTAGGCATCTGAAATGATGTATTGTAACAAAATTTTGAGGACTATTATGATTATGCAGATGGGAATTTGAGAAATTGGCTATAGTCACCGAATTTATTTGACAACAGACAGTGTTATTAGACCTCGTACGAATCATTTTACTTGGAAAGACGATGCATTTGTTGACAAATTTCGATTATTAAATAAATTATATAGTTCGGTTTTCAGTTCATTTGATCAGCGATCATATCTGTTCTTAGACTTATTGATAAGGTTAGGCAACCTAACCTACCTTGTATTTACAGTATCTTTTTCATATATTCTATAATAGACTTGTACTTTTTATCTAGGGAAACTAAAAGGTCTAACTCCGTGGTTGTGAAATTGGTAGAACGTTGATGTTGTTATTCATTATAAGACATGTTTATGCCCAGTTTCACATCTTATACAATTTAATTAATCCATTTAAATTAAATAATATACTATAATAAGACTAAAAAAAATAACAGAAAGAAATTTTAAATTATGAATAATTAATTATTATAATTTGGATAAAATGATAATGTTTAATTGGTGATTAGACCTCTGTCACTAAAATCAATACCGATTGTAATAAAAATAATGAAAATATTGTTTAAAAACAATAACCACACCATAATTTAACCATTGATTAACTAATCAGAATCATATCACTAACCATAGAACACACATAGGTTTAATCAATGATTACATTTTGATCTTCGATTAACTGATCACAATTTAACCAAGAAACTGTACAACTGGCCCAAACAGTTCAAGTTGTTATCACCTTATCACACACCACTGTCATCTCGATAATGACGTTAGTTAAGTTAATCACAGCGTTTACGCAACCGTAATTAGTGTCGTGAAATTCGAATGTTGATAAATCACGATTAACTTTTAATTTTTGACTAATATAACCACGATTAGTGTGATTTTGGTGAAATCGGGCCTTGAACATAATCTATAGTGTTTGGTTTTTTTTTCAGTGAGTAAGCATATTATAGTACCATAATAAATGTTCATCGAATATTATGAATATTGTTACGACGTTCGATTACAATATGAAAATATTAATTATTATTTTTATCATCGATTCGAAATCAGATTTTTTTACGAGTGGACCATTTAATATGATAATGTCAGTACAAACAGAAAAAATAAATAAATAAATAAACACATAAAAAATGAATACGAACCGTAAAAAAAACACGTTATAATTTTTTTTTTTTTTAACAAACATGACGTGAATTTCTCAGCGAATGTTTCAAACGCTTTGTCGTAACTTTAAATGTTAATATTACATAATGTAATATATTATTATGCGATGGTTTTTTTTTTTCAAATTTAGAATTACTATTATACCTATGTATACTATTTCCATATTTATAATATGTTATGTACTTAAATAAATAATTTTCGAATATTTGAACAAAAAAGACGAAAAATCATGTCATTATATAGTTTATATTGTATAGAGTCGTCATAGATTTAACGATAAGCAAATTTGGTGCGTTTGAAATAATAACAACAAAAGAGAACAAAAAGCAATAAAATTAACGTTAATTTATGGTACTGTAAATAGGTATATTTGTATTATACAATAAACGTTTTAAAATTTAAAGTTCGCGTAAATATTAATGTATAATATACATTATATTTATAATATTATAGTGGTGTAACGATAATTAAACTAAACGCAATAAATAAAATAATATATTAATTAATTATGAATATATATAATTATAACTTATTTATAAATACTTTATATGCCTGTTATTTTATTTATAAACGGATTTAAGAATATTTAAAAGTATATGTCTTAAAAGAAAAAAAAGAAATTTTGTTTGTTGTAAAACAACTTATCGTAATAACTTTTAATGACTAATAAAAAAAAAATTACAGAGATAAGAGAGTTTGTTTAAAATAAATTAACGTGTAATGTTATCAATTAAAACGTAGCGAATTAAATCGGCTCGTTTTAATAATCGAATAGTTATAATAATTATTATTGTTGAATTACGTAGTATAATAACGTAATGCTTAAACTGTTTTCGACAAATTGTATTTGTTTTTGTTTATTTTTTTTTATATAATATATACCTATATAGAGCAGAAGAAGAAAAAGAAAGAGGAAAAAAGAAAAACGTATCGCGATATACTTTTCTCGCGAACACAAAGTATATAAATGTTTGTGCTCGTTTGTTTGAGCATTGTAAATGGAAAACCAAAGTTTTTTTCTTATACCTGCGTAGCGGGGTGTTATTTCGATTGTTGTCGCCAAAGTGTTTTTTGAATAGGTCGACTTTATGTATAAATATATATATATATGCGTATATCTTACAAGCCCTCCTCCCTACCGACTTATGTACACGTTAGCTTATTTTTATTCGCGGGGGAAAAAAACACCCGTTCACTCGAAATGTTTTTTTTTTCGTTTTACATTATTTCGGTTGCCGTTCGCGCGCGCTACTGTACGTATACAACGTTTAATATCCGCGCATACTGCAGTACCGTAATATGAAATTAAATCCGGATCGTCGTATACGACGAATATTTCGTAACAATATTTATTATACAAGACGAAGCGGATTCTCGAACGTTTCTGGAACCCGACCTCGCGGTAGAGCTGCGGGCAAGCTCGTAGCCAGTTTTCAATTCTTGTAGAGGCATTGGGGCGTTGGGAAAAAACAATATTACGAGTCTTTGCAGTCTCCCACAATCTTTCCCCTCCCCCCGACCCGATACAACGATTAATTCGAAAACGGCCGCCTTCGAATAGAACGTTTCTGGGGAGGCGCGATAGCCCCATATCGCCTACCCCCCATCGGCCCCGGCTGCACGGTGTAACGTCGTAACGCGCGACAAAACCGCGAATTAACACGAGTAATTAATGCGGGTAATTCGGTTATCGCGAGCAGACATAATATATTAATCCGTATTAATACGGATCGTAACGCGAGATAACGTTATGACGGCGGCGGGCGTGCAATATAATGTGTTATTATATTATCGAGAGATGCGAGAGTAGAAAAAAAAAAAAAAACCAATAGCTTTATCGGATTCAAACACTTACGTACAATAAACATTATTACACGTTATACGTATTGGGCTGTACACGAGCACTTACGGTTCACACGCACGGACTCCACCCACACGGGACGATATTATTATTACGTGAATCCCGGAACGCGCGCTCGCGTAGATGCCGTGTGATGGTTGCATAAGTGGATTTCGTGAAAACCTTTTTAACGATACTCGGACCTGTCCCGGCACCGTCGTCGTCGGCGCATTAAAACGCTGATGTTTATCTATCGCCCGCGACGGAAATTTAATCATATTTTAGTGTGTGTACGCGCGCGGTTGTATTATTATTATACGTTTTTAATAACACAATAATCGGCCGTCAGAAAAAAAATAAAAATAAAAAACGCCACCGCCGCGTAATATTATTATTTATACACGTATATAAGTGTATTATAATATTACAGGCGCACCCGAACGGGAGATAATATTATATTCGTATAACGACCCGGCGTAGTAATTCCGTGCGGCCGCGGTGTAGTAGCAGCGTGCCTAAGTACGCCTATAAATATTATAATACGGCCGGCATCGGATCGGCGGCGTATAAATTATCGAAACGCGATAATAAAATATTATTATGTATATATGTAAAGCAAACGGTCGAATATTCGGATGAGGATTTTTTTTTTTTTATCGAAACGCTCGACAACGTTCGGGATTATTATATGTTATTGTATTAAATCGTGTGTACGAGTAAAAGTATGTATCGTAAATGGACCAAAATGACTTTGTGTTTTTTCGCTCTCCCACCAACCCCCCCCCCTCTCCCTCCGAGATAATATAATAATAATTGTTCTATACGTATATACCTACCGGATGAATGTTAGTTTCGTTTTGACGATTCTGACAAGTTAATCGATATTATTAGCCCGGGCGTAAATGTGGAAGTGGCTTCTGGCGGCTGTCGCCACTAATCGCATAATCGAGCGTACAACGAGAATGGGTATTATTAGAGGTAGGTTAATCTAACCTACTGTATATACAGTGTGCCGATTAAATCGAAAACGTTCCATCTAATATCATTATTATTTTTATGAACGGACCGGGTGTAATATTTTTAAGAATCGTACATTCGTGCCTATGTATTATGAGCGGGCGACTGCCGGGACACGTGTTTCCAAACCCTATAATATCAGAGTTTATTCTCGTGGAGGAGAGGGGACATATGACGAATTCGGGGTTCCGAGCTTCTACCGGCGGAAAGCCCGTGCGGATTATTCCAGTGGGCATACAGGCGTCATTCGAAGTAAAATTACGAGGTATCGAGCATCTTGGATAATATTTTGAATTCAGTTGTGATCTAATAAAGTGTCGCTCACTTCGTTAGTTGGCAGATCATCAGACCAGGTCGAACCGTAACCGAGTTTTAGGAGGATTTTTAGGAATTTTACAAAACGCCATTTATCTGTCGGTCTAAATTCGATATTGATCCAAGGAAGTTAGTCTCCTAATAGCGTAAACCTAAAACGAAGTCGTTGTAAAACCACGACGTGTTAACGTGCCGCTAGGGCCGAACTCGGATATAATGTGGAAATACGCCGCCGCACCGGTGGACGGAATCAACAAGCTTTGTAAAAAATAAGAAACCGTAATAGATACAAATAGGTAGTTTCTATTGAAACTGGTTAACCGCAACAGAATAAAAATGATATAATATCCTATGTACAATAAAAATCTGATCGGTTCTAATCGTCGACCGCTGTATAACGTAAGTTAGGTATATAACATCGTTGTAATGTTGAATTTGGGTTTCGTAAAAAACATTACAAATTAATGTGAATGCGATAATCGTTGATTATTTTATGCGGCTGAATAATTTTGCTGGAATATTAGAGATTTATTGTTAATAAACAAATAAACGTTAATAATATTACACATAATAACGTGAATACGATATTCCAGTTCGAAACCAACCTTTTTTTTTTTCTTTTTTTATTGCCGGAATATATTATTATTATTTTTTTATCGCCGTAAAACTAATTTTTATTTTATTTTTTAATTCATCCACACTAATCAGATTATCGTTCTGCCACCGCCGCCGCCGCCGTCCTGTCTGTTAAAAAAAACAAAAACAAAACAAAGTCGATGTATACTATTATAATACGTGTCCGAACAACTCACGCGATGCCCTCGTTAACGGAATCAGTCGGCATATTGCACCCTGTGTAAAATATATTCCCGTGTTATAGTACCTGCAGCCTGTCGGTATGGCATATACAGGGTGTTTTTTTATTTTTATTATACGAACCACCCATTGTCTACGCAAACTTTGATTAGATTTGATTTTCGATTTCTTCGGTCGTCATATTATCGAATCGTCTTGCGGTCTATAATATTTGTATAGGTACAATATTTTTAACGTTTCAACACCATAACTCCATGTGTGTACAGTACGCGTGTCGACCGTAATGAGCGGCCCACGTTTTTTTTAACTCTACGCATTGTAAAATAAGAGACTATTTGTCTAAAGCCTATAACGGTTTTAAATTAATAGACCGTAGGAAAGCGTGAAATATATACGATATTATAGCGTTTTAGACACCAAACATTTTTCGTTGAACGATTCCGGAATGTCTGGAAAAATCAATTTGTTGTATGTTGGTACCCTGTATATTATTGCTATTATTACGAAGCCGCCGTTACATTAGCCTTTCGGTATGCGGACCGACAACGTATAATAATAATTATACGGTTTAATTTCCACCCCCTTGGTAAACTTTTTTATTTTTTTTTTTAGTTGCCGTTATTATTTTTACGAGTATAGAGAACGGCACGCGATCCCGTTTTAACAATAATCCGAATTACGTTTAATTGGCCGACGCACCGCCGCCGTCGTGCAAAATAGGTTTGCTGGTTTTTTTTTTTTTTTTTTAATTCCCTTATCTGCCAGCAAATCCGTCAGCCCAAATTCTATATACTATATCTAATTCGATACGGAAACGCGGTGTTGGATAACACCGCAATAATTATAATACTATCATATTATATGATGGTTTATTATGGTATAATTGCCTATATTGGTTACTGGAGTTTATCTGGAGTGATTATCTTACCCTAAACCGACAGCCGCGTTATTTTATTTTTTAAATTCTTAACAGAAGATCTTTAGCAGAGGAAATATTAGTATAGTTTTACTACAACGGCATTATAGGTTAGGTTATCAAACATTTTGAATACAATTATATCAGGAAACAGACAACATCTCGAAACCTGATTTTTACGTTTCTATCTGATCGATAAAATTGAAGTTCTTTATGTATCATTATTAACGGATCGACTGCAGTTTCATTCCGATCTCGGTGAAACTTTGTACATCACTCGTTGTTCAAAACAAAAGAAAATTCTACCACAAAAGGGTGTTTGACAGAGAAGTTTTTAATAGAATACCAATTAAAAATTTTTTATTTTATTCTTTTACGGGTTACCTTGACGACATGGTTGAAAAAAAACGGTTATTATATTAATTTTGTTGTCACGGACAAACAAGTATCATTTTCAAATGATAAATTACCGATCAATGACGATTAATACTATGATATAGATAAAGGCGGAGACGGGGAAACACGCTAAATTACATTTTTTTTTTTTTTTTTTTTTTATCGATTATTCTGTTTCCGAAAGAATATAAATACCGCGGGTAATTCAACTAGTACCTATACCCTATATGTTGGGACTCACGTCGAGTAACGACGCTTGCATATCGAACTTTTCCGATTTCCGGACTACCCGTATGATGGTTACACTACGCCGGAAAAACGGCTTTACAATAATCAGCCAAACCGGTTAAAGTAGGCGAACGTTTTTATTTTCTTTCCGAATCAATATTGTGCGTAGACACACACAATATTGTAGTTCGTGTGTCGAAAACAATATTATCGTAAAATAATTCGCGATACGATTACGTTGCTAGTTTATCGTCGCGGTATTATCGGAAGGGCTCGAGATACGATACACGGCCCGTTACCGCGTCGTCGTGGAGCACCGTCCGTATGTTGCATAGGAGACTATCGCATCAGTGTATAATATTACGTTTGCACGGTTTTGTTATGTGTGTATTTTTTTTGTTTTTCCCCGTGTTATTATTATTGTTATTTAGGGTGCGAAATCTGTAATCCCGACAATAAATGTCACTCGTTAATTTACAACTATCACCGCAACGACGACGACGCGACAATAACGGAAACGGCTTCATTAAGGATTAGGTACCTACGTATATATATACGTACACTGCTGTTTTGTATATAATTTATAATATTTATTATATTATTATTGTATTATGTATATGGCCGGAGGCTTAAAAAACCGCACGCTATACACACACACACACTCACACATCAACATCACCGTAATAATAATATGCGTCACGCTCGAATACGGATGGGGTCGGGGACACGTATTTGAAATTTACACGTTTTTATTTCGGCATATTCCTCCCCCGCGCGCGCCGGTTATACACTCGTATAGTTGTATATTATTATTATTTTCGTCGATCCCCTTTTTTTTCTCTCTTTTTTTTTTCCCCCCCCGTTCTCGTTTTATCGTCATCATCATTATTATTATTATTATACGATTGCTATATATTGGCATTTTATGACGTCTGATAACGTGTTGAATCATATATTATTATTTGTGTACACTCTCGCAAGATTATACATATATATATATATATATATATATATATATATCTAATATAATGTCGAGCGGAACAGCGAAATAAGCGAGCGGGGCGATTTTTTTTTTTTCTCTTGTAACAAATAGACGACGACGGCGACGGCAACACAAGGTCGCGTTCACACGATCTACTGCGGCCGAAAATGCGGAGCAGTATATATAATATACACGCGTATAACACATTATTAAATCGTCATAATACTATACATATATATATATATATAAATATAATATGTTTCTCGTATTATTACTATTATTATTATTACGGAAACAAAGTCTATCTATGTTATTTTCTAAAAGACCGCCGAACGCCGCTGCATCGTTTATTAGAGTATTCTTATAAAATGTATAAACCAGCATTGGCGCGACCGGGATTAATTTTCGGGCGGTAGGGGGGTGGGTGCTTGTGAACCGTAAAAATATTGCCGGACTGCTGGTTTTCGAGATAACAAATTACCGAATACGGGTGACGCGGGTATATTTAAAATTACTATATGTAAAAAATGTCCGCAGTAATTTAAATACAAATCGCGCAACTAAAATGCAAATTTAGAGTGGAAAGGTTATAATCCTCTCACCTGGCTGCGCCACTGATTCTCCAACGGTTTCATAAACAATAAAAGGTTTTCCCGTCATATTCCTATTACATACATCACTACATATGAAAAAAAAATCACTTTGATTTCAAAAATCCTTTGAAACAATATAAATAAGGGGGTTTCTTTTTTAGCGAAACGAGATATTTAATAACTCGAACAAAAATATTTATTGTTATTTTGTACATTTGTATTGAATTTTTCTGAGTATTTATTTGTTTAAATAAAATACATAGGTATTGCCGATAGATTTTAATTTATACTATAAATCGGTCAACTCAAAATTCCTGTTAAACGCAAAACATTTCATATTTCACATAATTGCATAGAATATGATTAATACACATATATCGATTATAAAGCGCATTAAAAAAAATATATATATTATTATTAATTACCATAATTAAAATTTACTACAACAATATATTTTATAATTTACGAGTATCTGATACATTTTTATTTGCGAGGTTTGTAATTACAATGTAATACAAAATACAAAACGTACAAGAAAGAATATATTTCAATAAATTCGCTTAAAATGTATTTAGAAATAATACGATATACCATTAGCTTACATTTTACAGGCAAATTAAAAACGAAAACAAATCAGTATCGCACTTGTATTAAAATAATTTATATTTATGTCAAACTACAATTTAATTTTGCAGTACTGTAACCAGAAAAAAATTTCAGATGGGTGGGACACTTATATAATTTCTATTATTACTTAATATATTTTTAGAAATAGATAAAACACAAAAAAAATAACCGAAATGACAGAAAACCAAACGATTTCTGGGAATGGAGGCGGGGGTGTATCATGTGCCCCTAGAGCTTCTCTGTTGTACGCTACGGCATTGTATTGTTCACCCATCCTTGTTGTTAGTTATCGTATCGAATAAATCACAAAATATAAAAAAGAATAAATAAAAAATGAACTTTGGAGTTTAGCCCATATAATGATGGTAAAATAAACCGGAAGAAAAACTTAATAATCCTACGCATAACAGGATTATGTTATTATATTAACATAAGCCCATTAACATGACAAAAATGTATTTTTTCCCGTCTATTTTTGAGTAAAAATTATAATTTTTTTTTTCCTGAAGAATTATTTAAATAGGTACTAGGTAGGCGTACTGTTCAACATATGTTTATTATATATTATTTAAGTCTATCATATAAGACAAATCCAATAAATTCTTACAACGCTCCTCTTGTGAACTTACAAATTACAATACGAGTGTTAATGAAAATAATTTTACATAAGCCTATAGGTTGTATCTTACAATTAATTTATTTTAGTATATTGAATTTAAAAACCATTTATTATTAAAAGTAAAGGTATCTTTAATTTGTTTAAAATTTATATGACGATTTTTAAAACTCGGCATGTTTACGATACTTGTTTTAAACAAGTATTGTTCAAATAATTTAAAGCTCTTAAAACTTTAGGTTATTTGAATTATTAAAAGTAAACAAAAACGTTGGGAAATTTAATATCATTAATTTTGGGAATATATATATGTACAATTTTATGTATTTGTAATAATTGTAACAATGACGTAATATAATATTATTATTTATTTATTTATTTATTTAAATATTACATTTATTATAGTTTTTTTTAAATAGCATTTAAATTTAAATTGACAAATTATATATTATATATACCATATTAACAGACTAACAAACGATTACTTTATTATTATTATCATATTTAACAAAATAATTAATACTTCCCTACGACTAAAGTAAACCACGGTAGACAGATATTATTATTATTATTGAAACGCCAGCCCTGCCGGTTTGGTACTGTTAGCTGATACTGTTTTTGATTGTGCCAATGCTGTAGGCGGAATGTCACATATATCACGGAGAAAGATTCCGAACGGAACTCAGTTGAGCAATTCTTTGAAATAAATTACTCCGAAACACATACTCGTGTAAAATTATAAATTTTACAGCAATACAACTACCCAAATAACCCCTTCTAACTACCACCGCAACCACTGCTATAACTTAATCACGAAATACTTTATCACTTTACGCGAAATTCCGAGGTATAATAATTTAAAATCCCTATAAATAGCTCAAAAGTCACCAGAATAAAATATTAATATATGAATTTTATGAACATTTCAGATCTCTACGATAATTTTTAACCGATTAATAAAAATACAAAATCGTATATAATGAAACCGTTAATGTCGTAAACTTTCTCGATTTTCTATATTTTTTCCCAAATATTATAAAAATTACAAGAATAATCGACCTATTCAATACACCAATTAAATCTAAAATGTTACAAAAGAGCTCTGTTGTTATTTTTTAATTGAAGCAAAATTTCCTGTAGAAAAGTTGTTAACAGACAAAAAAAAAACTGAATCTAATAAATATTTACTATGAAAAATTAATTTTAAAATATCAATAAATGGTAACATCGTTAAATAAGTTGCACTGCAGTTATTATTTAATAAGGGTTTTTACATGTGTGTGTGTGTGTGTGTGTGTGTGTGTGTGTGTAAAGTGAACGATAATCAAAATAGTATTATATTATTCGTGACAACGTACTTACAGTAGTAAATAAACGTATATACTTATATATATATACTTATACTAAATAATGATAATAATAATATTGCAGGACACGCTGTAAAAGGATCTGGGAAATCGGCTTAAGGGGAGAGAGACGCGTAGTCCGCGCAAACCCCTACGGAGTTTGGCAGCAGTGGCGACTGATATTACGCGACCAATTACGGTAACAACAACGGTTTTGCGGTGCAACAGTAAATAACAATAATATATATATATATAGAGCATTTTTATTATTGTCGTGAATAAAATGCCGAGTGTGTTGTGTACACGCGTACGCTCTATATATTCATTATTATTCGTGTATACATATATGGAACTAGCCGACGGGATTATATTATTATTATTATTATTATTATTAGGATAGGGACTGATGCAGCAGTCAATAATAGGTAAACCGTATATTATTATTTCGTATAAGTATATGTATATACAAATAAAGGTCACGGATAAAACTAGCCTACAAAAGCTGACGGTTTCCTAACGAAGTGTAAGAGGCTATTTGTCAGGTCCTCGGCGACATACAAGATGAACACAAGAAACCGCGTCCGACTACGTATCTACCGGGGAGGGGACAAAAACAAATCCAGATTATTAAACAACTTTTGGCGCGCGGCTGTATGTGTTTAACATAAATCTTGAGGAAATAAAAAAAAAAGCTCTTGGTTTTTACATATACATGAAAAATAATGTCCAGTATCTATATGTATACGGATAATTATTCGTCAAACAGACACACTTAATACTTATAAAAATACTATATATATATGTATATATATTGTCCGCAGACATTATTAAAAAATTAAATAAAATACTCTTCCAGAGGAAATGTAATTTTACCTACGTGTTTTACTCGTAAGTCTGCTGGGAAATTGGAAAATAACGAAACGATCGCGCACTGTAAAATCAATATGACAAAATATCTTATAGTTTATTAACTTATATAGGAATACGTTTTGTTATAATATTTCTATCACTAAATTTGCATTATATGTACTTTAATTAAAAACTAATTTCCATAAATTAACGGAGAATATAATACAATAGATGCAAGTTGACGCGAGTTCTTTTTAATTTTAATGATTGTATAAAAAAATAATAATAATGATAATAAAAATCATTATTACATTTTAATGTGTTCAATTTACCTACATAGGAAATAGTATAAAGTTTAAGAAAATAATTAATTAAACAATAATTAACTCTAGTTAAGTAATCCGACCAACAAAATTTGATATTGTTCGCAAAACTACATTATAAATATATATTATATATGAATAATATATCCAAATTAAAATTTTTGCGAGAAATTTAATTTTTGTTCGCTACTTTTGTGGAAACTTTTGAGAAATAGTTACAAATATATCTATATGATAATAAACTATTGATCATATTAAATAAATACAATATTTAAATTAGTTGACGAACATAATTTGAAACTTTTAGGAGATACACTATAATTGTATCTCCTAAAAGTATATATAGTAATACAGTTGTAATACCTTTGAAATATTTGAAACTTTATTATTTCAATTACCTACTTAAGTTAGTTTGCAAAATCTAAAAAAAAAAAAATATTTAATTAGAGAATTAGGTTATTTTCCAAAATTTAGCGTTGTTCATTCAATCAATAACACTCATTCCAAAACTTCACAGATTGAAAATATTTTTTCGTTGAATCTTGTTATAAAACTCAGCATTGCCAATGAAATTTCCATCCAATCCGACATTACATTTAATCGATTGTTCTGATGAATATTTCTTATACACGTAAAAAGGTCGGTGCATTCGAGTAGTCTCGCGTTCAAAAATCTACTCTAGTTATGTCCCGGATTAATTCGGGTACTATACTAATTGGGTTCCGTGTTCCCGCGAGTACTATTCTAGTTGGGTCCCATATTTCTACAGGTTGTACACTAGTTGGGTCTCGAGTTAATAGTGAGTAGAAGTTCTAAAAAGTACCCAAGTAGACACTTACATAATAATGAGAAGTACGTGAAAAAAGCCGGGAATATATTTTACAAAAAAACATTTTATAAAGGAGAAAATGACTGAAAAAAAACATTAGCAACACTTTGTTAAATCTTTCTCTTATAAATGTTTACTCTAGTAAATTTAATACTATAATTAAATTAAATTGAATAGCACATTTTTTATATCATATAAAGTTAGTATTCATTGAACGACCGAAGGCCACCTTTTAAATGTTTTCCAAAATATTAATTCATCTGGCAAAACAAACAATTTTTAATCATACTTGTGGTTTATTTTAAACTAAAAATCATTGACAGTCCTAAGTCTGTAAAAATGAGAAAGAAAATGTTTGTAAAATTGTTGCTTGTAAATATTTGGATCCAACTAGTATATAACCTGTCAAAAGCCGAGACCCAACTAACATAGTACCCAAAATTCATTGGGGCCCAACTAGTGTACTACAACCTATCAAAACCACTTGGATCCGGGATCTAATTCGGATGAAGCCTATTATATTATATAACCTAATATATTTGATAACAAAGGAATAATATTGCAATCAAAACATGTTCCATTATTCAACAACTTTTCAACAGATCCATCGTTCAGTTAAATTTTGGAAAGCATGGCTAAATTATAATATTATACATTTCAATAGAATTTAGATATTAAAATTACGAACTGTATGCGTTTTAACGATATTAAGAGTGTCATAATGAGAATGATTTTGAAAATGACCACTGACATTTGAAAAGAAACGTGTTTTTTTTTCTGTTAAGTTGTTAAAAATTCGCTGATAAATAAATCAAATTGTATGTATCTATATACGTATTATTATAATGAACTCATCAAGAATTTTTGTTGTGAAATACGAAACGTTTAGTTTTTTTTATTTTATTGTATTTTTATATAATGTGTGTATTATATTATAGTGTATCTCTTCTTTTCTATTACAATATCACCGCGTTTATATACACTTTTACTATTGTTCCGTTTTATTTAATTCCTGAATGTCCTCTATATGTAATACATAATTTGTACAGGAAATTATTCAAAAAATTTATTTTTAATAAAAAAAAAAAAATCAAATCATATTACGTTATTGCAAAAAGGTTATATATCAATATAATATTTATAATATTACATTATATATTCGTTTATAAAATGATGGTAAACATTATTTGAACTGATCAATATGCGATGACTTATAAAACCAAAATCTAATATCCTCATAACCTAATCTGACCCTACTTGAATTACCTATAAGTATATATAATATACAATATATTTATTTTTCAAATGAAACCTCAACGCATCATTGAAATATTTTTAAAAGTTATATTCGTCTGAAAACCAAAATCTCTTAAATATTAAAAACACGAGTAGGTATACCTAGTATATACGAATATATATATATATATTTATATATGAATAATCTCTATGCACTTGTGTGTTGCAATGTTATATAAACGGTGCAACACACTGCACTGCGCGTCATAGGATTATTACTTATATTATTATAAATTAAAAAACATACAAATTCAAAGAACAATTATTAACATTGTACTTGGTATTATCGTCATTATTCATGCTGCAGTTGGAAATATCGGGAAGTATAATTGATATAATGTAAAATTCGATAGTAAAGTGTATATACGCAAAATTCCAAGTATTTTCTATACACCATAATTATTATTGACAATTTAATATTCATTAAGATAATACAATATTGATTAATTCTTAAATACTTATAACAATCAACAATAATATAATATAATTCGATAATATAATTTTTTTTTTTTTAAATTAAAAAAATTGCAAAATAAATCTTATATGATTATAAAAGTTATACAAAAAATAATTAACTATAAAAGTAATTTAACTTAATTCCTACTCTATTAATTTGTATAAACGAATTGATATGGTAAATAAGTTTTACGAAATATTAGAAAATATAAAAAATACCATAAGAATATACGTAGATACGTACTAAAATATTTGTGTTGAAAAAAAAATGTTGAAGTAGTTTTCGATTGGACACATACACCGTAATAAAAATCAGAGAAAATTTGTGTTCTTTTTTAGTTTATCAAACCATTAAAAAAAAAAAAATTGGAAAGCTATGTTAGTTAAATCAGTTTATTTAATTTATATCATTTATATATTATAATTGGAGGAAAAAATATTCATACATAGTAAAACTAAAATATTCTTCGCTACGTTCAGAAGCTAAAAAAAATAATATATATATATACCTCTTAGATATAATTCATATATATATATATATATATATGTACATCTATACTGAACTATTTTCGGGATTAAATTCTATAACACGTATAGAAGAAAACGGCGGTGATTCACAGCCCTGTCATTATAATAATATGTTGGTATAATGCATATGAGTACCGCAATAACCGCGAGGATCAAATTGGACCACAATGTACCGAATCCGGTACACGTGCACGAAAAACAATACTATACGAATATCCTATATTTTACGTATGCATGTACATACCGAATTTATACAGCTTATAAACGAGTAAATTACATTATATTATTATTATTATTTGATATGAGTAAGCGCTATTTATTATTATTAGGACATTTTTTCTTTGAATAACCACTGCGTGCTCACTGCTCTCTCCCTTAAAAATATTCCATAGACCAAAACTTTTACCACACCTTTTACATTTCTTTCCTCGTTTAACCACTCCCCCTCCCCACAAATTAGAGTATTGCTTATTTAAACTATACAATAGCCATTACGAAATCTACTATAATTTAATAGTTGACCATTTAATTTTCTGTACATAAATGAACACACAGTGAGCAAAATCTCTCTGCATACCTAATTATATAAAACATAAATTGATGGCCAATTGACTTTATTGAGTATCCATTAAATACAGAAAACCTACTTAAAAGATGTCCCGAAAGGTATGCGAGTAATGTGTTATTAAACATATTATGAATCGACACAGAAGCAAACGGTGGAATTGACGTACTTATTATACTCGGAGTGATCGATGACGCCAAGGCAACCGTTTGTGCTTGCACTGCGATAATACCAGAACTTTTTTTTGAAGCCATTATAAATGCGCACGCCAGCGATGCATCGTGGGGCACCGTAATAATTAATAACGTTATTGATTAATATTGCGTAATTAAAAACAAAACAAAAATCGAATTGCAGTATGGTTGCTGTCTGCAGCAGTCGCGTGTCATATACATAAAAACGATACAAATTTTATAAAGGATCGCATAAAACGACAAGAAATACCGGTAATTTATAATTTTCTAATTGATATAATTTTTAAAAAAAAGCATAGATTATTTGCGAGTATATTTTTTATAAATTCGAAATTCATTTAAAAATTTAAAAAAAATTTTAAATTTGTTTATACAAGTACATCAGTATTTAAATAGGCGTTCCGTAAAATGCTCTTCTTTCTGCAGTTTAGAAAGACTATCCGAACAAAACACATTAATAGGGGTTTCTGGTAGCATTTTTTATTCTACAAGTATAATTGGTACATTCAGAAGCTAATTTTTTTGAAATTCCTATAGTTGATATACTATTTTTAATAAGAGGGGAACATCTGACAACAAATGTTGGTAATACTATTACATCGATTTTGAGATTAATTTATATATAGCACGTATAGAGATCGAAAATGTTGAGCATAAACGTTTGGATCCGTATTCTGACAGTTAATATTATCATCTACAAGCAAAAATTTCATTATGAATGTTCACACTTGAATTTTAGATTTTCACTTCTGAACACCTTTATTCGTTAAAAAACAGGCTTTTAGGCTCTTAATAGTTTTGTTTAACAACATAGACCCATTTTATTGGTGCAAGAGTTTTTAAATAGAGAGTTAATTAGTGGTTGAGTGGCTAGGTTAGCTAAATGATAGTCAGTAGATAACTAAATGGAATGTATGTACACTTATTCGCTGATGACAACCGGTATTTCCGACAAGGCGATACAAATCACCTTTTTTGGACAAGGAAGAGAATATAATATTTGACTCAAAAAGAATTTGTAGACGCTGGAATCAGAATCTGGTAGCTTATAAGCTTATTAATTGTTTAGTTTGATTTGGAAAAGACAGTTTGTTTAATAACACCAATGCAATATAATTATGTAATTTTTTTTTTTTTTAATGAAAAATTCAGGAATGGTGGTTTCAATAAATGGTCGATTAGGTGAGTGCATCATTATAATTTCGCCGGACTTACCCATGATGGTACAGAAAGTTCGCGCCCTTACTGATAATAATATACCGATAAGAACGTAAAATACAAGTAAATTAACGATTGATGAATAATTATTTTATTCCGATGAATGTATACCAAGTCTTAATATTATGTCACGCAAATTATTATCAAATACCGGGGGAGAGTGGGGGGGAATTGTCCATCATATTGTAATTACACATACACCACATCACACTTATGTTTGTTATCTGAAGTTTATCACATGTTTCGATATGCATAATTATCGTATTGTAATATTGTGTACATATACGCATGTAATGATATGTAAATAATATTCTAAATAATCGGTTATTTAATCAGATTCCATTTAACCATCGCTCGTTATTATTATATTATTATTTATCATAGAATACGGCCCAAATCTGTCCGTTTACCGTTCAATTCATCGGACTGCTATTATTATCATTGCATTACGCGAACAAGTTGAAAGTATACGCGGGACTGCGATATAGGCGATGCACAATTTTTTAAAATTATATTGTATAAGCTTATAGTAGTATTATATTATTATATATAATAATATAGACTCTGTGCGCATCCTAATATTATGTTAAGACGGTGTTGTATGCAAAAAAACAAAAAAACAAAATTACCTACTGTGCCCACATTGTGTTATATAAACGTGCGATCACGAGCAGCGGGAATAACGCACAGGGTATGGAAGGAGGCGGACAATTTTTTTTGCGCATTTATTTTATTTTTATTTTTTTTTTTTTTTTCGATATTTTAATTAATAATTGGAACGGCGCGCGGTGGCTGATAAGACGGCTGATTAAAAAAATATTATGTTTTAATCAATTTAATTGTTCGTAATTATAATATTATTATACGATCCAACGACACGCGAACCGATAACGCGGCGTCGATAGCGCACGAATTAGGCTTTTCGCTAGACACGGTCCGTATTTTTATTATTTTTTTTCTCTCCCCTTTAAATACAATAATAACGCACACAAACACAAACCTAATACTCACACTCGGTTCCCCTCGCCGCCATGTATATAATAATATGACGCGTATCTGTCTGTATACAATAATATTATATACTTTTCCATTTTCCCGGTATAAACCAGGGTCACGGTGCCCATATACCTAGGTAGGTATAACCCTAACCGTACATAATAACGTCTGCGTATACGTTTATTATTATTATTATGAAATATAAATTATAACATTATTATATTACTTCCGTAGGATAATAACGCGCACGACCGATTTGTGCAGTGCATGGTGTTTGCGTGTGTGATGTTTCGTCGGTAATTGATTAATTAATTCCGCCGGGACGACAGATATATTATTATAATTATCGCTGCAGTGAATAATATAATATGGACGGGTATGTATATCATACGGCGTAGGCTGCACGTTAATAATATGCGGCGTACGAGCAGGTATGCTACGAAAAATTAGTATAGCGAAGGGTAAAAAAAAAAACACGTCCGAATTACAATTCCGAAATTGATATCGCCTTATGGGACCGTGGCACGCGTTTTTATGTTGTTTTTTCTACTACTACTATTATTATTATTATTGAAATTCGGCTTTGGAACTCTTGTAGACACTGCACGATAAACTGCATATAGAGAGGGACAAATATATTTAGAGACGGAGAGACAAAAGTAATTTATTTCGTAGTGTACAAGTACTGTATAAGTATATTATATGTACGATAAAAGTACAGTCGTATATGCGCTTTCGGTCTCAATTAAGCGGCCGTATAGAGCGGTGGAGAATGCGTGAGCGCGCGACTAACAAAAAGGGGAAATAACGGCGGTAATTGGGACGGCATTTTACGGCATTACTGCGACGACGACGACGTTTAAACTTTTAAAAGTAAGTACGCGTATACGTTTATTTATATACAGGTATAGTATATTATTATTGTTATTATCGAAACAAAAACAAACGCGCGCGCGGGACGACGACGTCGTGTCGGGCGAAGAAACAGAGGAACTGCGCGCAGGAAAAGTGATTAAAAACAAATGGGCTTGAAAACGCATTTCCTCCCTCTGGCGGTTCACTGAAACAATTACCTGTTTTATTTATATATACATAGTATAATTATAATTATATAGAAGTAGAAGTATAAGTAATAAGTAAGTATATAGGATACGCGTATATACGAACACGGAGGTTTTTTCCGACCCGAGACCGTATAGCTCGTCGGGCACCTAATATCCGCGTCACAGCACATCGCGACGACAAAGACGTCTTCTCGCGCGGCGGACGTTATAATTGAATTACGTACACGCAAATTAAATATATTAAATATATAAGTATATGTTATTATGTATGCAACAATTGGGAACACGGACGCGAAATAACCCCTTCCCCACCCCGGGATTTCAACGTAATCGTATATTTTGCTCAACTTGGAAATTACCCACCATATATAAACCCTATACACGGAAAGTAGATAATAATATAATTCGCGGAGTTCAAGTACTCGTTAATTTATTAAAAAGAATATATATGTGTGTGTGTGTGTGCGTAAATTATGTACAATTAAATATAAAAAGAGAAATCATTTTAGGACATGTGGAGTACGTATGAGACATGTGAGGGTAATTGTGATGAGACGGGGAGATGTGAAGCGTGCGAATAAGATTCCATCTGACCGACCTGCGTAATGGAATACAGAAGGAGATAGGTATATTATCGTATAAGATTTCGAAGACTTAAAATAATCGCCCAAGTCGATTATTATGAATGATTATATTATGACGTATTTGGAACATAAAAGACTAATATAGACTGGTCTTAGAGTAGGTCAGTAAAGTGTATAATCGTTGACGTATCATTTCCGCTTTTGGGACGGAGTCCGAAAATATTTACATCGTCACGACTCTGCGACTTTTATATTCGATAGTATGTCAACCGTTTAAAAGTTTTGAAATTTTTTGCACACGTGCAAGTTGAGGTCTATTCCTATATGTTCGTTTAAGAAGTCTAACTCGTAATAATATAATGTAGATAATACTTGCCTCCGGATTCTTGGTCTTTCTGTTGGTCCCTCTTGAGACCGAGTATGGCGTCGATGGTGTGGTGTTTGGGCGCGGGCACGGACGTGGCCACATTGGCCTGCATCACCGTTGGCCTGCAGTGCGGTGGCCCGTTGAACGCAAGACCTAAGGCCGTGACGGCGGCCTGGTGTCTCCTGATGAGCATCTCGATGTTGGCCCGGCTGTAGGGCGGTATCTGAGCGGCGGTCGGCACCATTTCGTTGTCGCTATTGCTGTCCGTCTCCATGATGGCCAAACCGCTTTCAACGACGACGACGACGAGTCGGTATACCGCAGACTCAGGTATAATGTATAATTATGTCTATAAATAGTTTTGCACTGACGGTGGCAGGGGGTGTACAATATTATTGTTGGTGCGCGTCACTGTTTACAGTAAAATAGAACTTTTTGAACGGACGTTAAACTGAAAAAATAAAACAAAATAAAACACATGCAAATAGCTGAGAAAATGTGCGTGCGTGTGTGCGTGCGTGGACGAGGACAGGCGTACATGAACGATAACAACAAGAACCGGAGTCCTACTGTTCGGCAGTGGCCGCGGTGTAGCCCGCCGTCACACGGCGCGTCGCACGAAGCGCCGCCGGAGTAGGAGGCGCGGCCACCGCGGACCAATGGCGGGGCTCCGGGCGCCCCTCCGCTCAAAATCATTACCCAAACCGCCGATTTTCGAATAAACAGGCCACTTGTGCACTCCACCCTTCTCCGTCGCGCCCCGCGCTGCGACCGCACCCGCCGCCGGCCCGTCGCGCCGACGGGGATCCGCGCGCGGGTATAATTCGATAAATGTTCTTTTCAAAACCCTAAATGCCCCCGAGGGCCCGGCAGCGACGACGACGAAGACGACGAGTATACGGACGACGGTGCGGCGGCAGACGGGGAGACGCGGCTGCGGCGGCGGGTAGCGCGCCGGCGGTGACCGGAGTGTATAAAGTCGGCGGGTGAACGGGCGGTGCAGCGGGGAGGCGCGTCCCCCTTATTTATTTACTAGCGTGTAATGTTTAAATGAGATGTTATTGTTTGGCCCCCCCCCCACACACACACACACATGCTCGCAACACAACACAACACGGCGGCGACGGTGTGTATAATATTTCATATTATTATTATTATTATTCGACACAGAATACTCGCGCGTCGACGCCGCCGTTCGCACCCGGAACGTTTTGTCCCGGTCGTTACCGCTGCGGTTACTGGTTACACGGTAGTTATAGGTATAATATTCGGTATGTTATTATTATTATCGCAGTAGGTTCTACGTACATATAATAATAATTATGTAAACCGACCGCGGAGAAGACGTGGCGACTATATAATAATAAACCTCTTGGCTCTTGTACGTCTTGTTTATTCGCCGGTCCTATGCGGGATATAATTTTTTTTTTAAAAAATTTTGTTTTTTTCGCACTTCTATAATAATATATTTCTATATTATATCGTCGTTATTATGACGCGTATATATAGGTACTTATAGCGGTAATCTAACTGCGATAATACCCACTCGAACGCCACTGGTCGCCACTATATATGTGCCTATACTACAGTCCACCTATAATGTTGATCAGCGCGAAGGGAGCGTTTTTAGCCGTTTCACCGCGGTCGCGCGCCACTTATAAATCTCCCAGTTTTCGCGTCCTGTCGAGTAATCGGTTATTTTATTTTATTATTTTTTTTTTTTTAGCGACCGGTGAAAATTTTAATTGGTCCGCGCCAAAACAACTGCAGTATACAATAAAAGAGTACTCGTAAACAGCACACGCTCCGCCTTTCAGTACTTATTATTGTCAGAATATTTCCGGGAGACCGGTTTTTTGAGTTTTATATGACGTGTTGTATGTATATAACACTTACAATCACCAAGGGTTACATACGAATGAAAAAACATAAAAACCTATCTGAACATCGCGTAATAATAAAATATGTAACTTTTTTTAGCGAATTCAAAATAATTTACATTTTATATCATCACAAATATTAACCGTTTTCAAATGTTTATAAGCAGAACGTATAAACTAAACAAATTAACTACACATTTTTAGCTTTTATTTCGCGGCGCTGCGCTAGTTATAGCTAATGCAAGTTCGTATAATAATACTTGTGAGCTGTTCTAGGGGCTCATATAAGTACAAACTATAACACGAAGTTCTAACATCACCAGAAATAAGTTTTCTTCTGTTCAATATTTTTGAGTCTTTTTTTCCTTTTAACATAATCACTAGTACAGTATTGTAAATACAATATGTTTCGAAATCAAAAATAAAAAAACTTCAATTTTGTAAATAATTATTTTTTATTATTTTATGAATAGATTTTGAAACAAAATTCTGATGCTAAAAATTTTTAGTAATGATGAATCGTTAATTTTCTACAATGTTTTAAAGTTTACGATAATTTAAATTGTTCTCATTGCCACTTCTAAATAATATCAATCGAATCACCAATTTTTTTATGAAAAGTAATTTTGTTAATGAGTTTTGTAAACTCCAAAAAATTGTAAAAACTTAACGATTCGTCATTAGTAAATTTGTATAACATCACACTCGTGTTTCAAAAAATATTTATAAAATTACTACCTCAGAGTTTTTTTTAAACAAATTAACTTATTTATTTTCAGTTTAAAAAAAAAAAATTAATAATAGAGTAATCATTAGCGCAAAGCTACAGAAATGACTACAACAAAAAAAAAAATTTAAACGTATTATACAGAACAAAAGTTATTTATATGGTGTCAGATAATCGTGTTACAGGGTGTATAGGTATGTAATAGTTACATAAATTTGTATTCAAACAATGTTCGGCCACATAAAAATATATTTATTATAAAACTAAAAAAAATCCGAATTTATCATTGCACAATTGTGTACATAATTATTCGGAGAATTTAATTATTTTTATCAACATTTATGAGTAAAATGCATGGTTTATTAATTTAGGTAGGTACACAGTTTTATCCGTGTTCAATAATATATTTATTAATTTATTTATTTAGTATAATAACAATTATATCGTTATAGAATTGCATTAGTGCACGGTTTTGCATTAGTGAATTATAATTAATTCGCATTGTCAATCGTATTGATCTGTAGTTTTCACAAAATATTTACCTTTTGGCCTTTTACATTGGCCTTTTGTAGACGTGCTAAACAATTTAAAATGTTCCAACTATTTTTAGGTATTTAAAATTTTCGTGCTTTTATATATATTTTCATTTGGTAGGTAGATATGCTAGAGAAATAGAGAAATGCTTGAAAATGTAACACAGGATATATTATACATTTTAATTAAACGTCTAAAAAAAACAAGTTTAAGTTTTTGAGTTTAATGCATCAGCCTTTTTTTTTTCATAAGCGTTTTAAGATACAATTTCAACGAAAGTCGTAAAAATGAAAGCAATTTAAAGTATGTCTCACCGAACTTCCCTCCGAAAGTGAATGAAATAGGTATTTTATATAATCGTTCAACCAATCGAGTTGGAATCTTAAAACTTCTACGATGAAGCGTACAAAAAATGAATGTCTATTTCATCATTGGAAGAGTTTACACACTCGCGGTACCATTTAACAGTCAACTTGTACAAAAAACTCGTTTACTTATTGGTACATACTTAACCTGTTCATATTTTTAATAGGTACGTCAATTTGGAGTTACTATTGTTTTTTTTTTTTTTTTTTTTTTTTTTGCGGTGAACGATTTCGGTATGTTTTGGCCGCCTGACCAAATGAAACTATAGAATAGTATAATAGCGTATAATAGTATACAATATTATACTATCCTAGCGTAATTTTTTGTGAGTATATTATATACTTTTTTTAAACTTCTAAAACGTAAATAATAATTATATAACGAAAATTACAGCGGTACTTATACTTCAGCCAGCAGAAATGTATTATAAATATATTATATTATGTGCGGCGCAAATCGCACGCGACACACTATATAAAAATATATTACCTATTTTGTCCCGTATTATTATAATGATATAATATACCTACCTTTAATATATCATTATTCGTTTAATGTGAAACAAAATGACCGCACGCAGCTAACAATTGAATATTATAACATTTCCAATGGTAAATTAGTGACCCTATACACATATACATGCGTTTAATTACACGTTTGTGTACTATACTGTTTTATGTACGTTCTGATTACTGTATATTTACATGCAGTTCGGTTAAATAGATTATTTGCATGAACGTTAAATTATTATTATTATTTGTATTACTTACAGTCGGTGCTTTCGCCATGTCGAAAACGAAAATTACTGCACGCGTATGAAACTATAACATTTTTATTTGACCCCCATCTCCACCAGCTCGCTGCGTTATGAATATTATTTATTATCATATAAAATAAAATATTGTAATAGAACAACGGCACAATTTTATATACGATGCACAGAAGCTGCAAAATTGTAAACAAATAACGCTTAAACTACCTATGTGCAATATATTTATGTACGGTTATTGTATGATGCAATTTAAGACTGCAATTTTATAAAATATTTTTCCAGAAAATATTACCTTTATTATGTAAAACAAATATAAAAATGAAATACCTATTTATAACCAGATGTAAATGATTTAATATAACGTATAATAATATACAAAGTTCTTCTAGGATAATGGAAACGGGTGTAGTCACAGTTATTGGTGGGAATAATTGGGAAGATAGGATACAGAAGAGAATTTAATATATATATATATATATATATATATGTAAGTAACAATAAACAGTTGTTAACAAAAAACGATTCTGAGCGGAGTTCAGTTGACAATAATGCTTTGTCGACAATATATATGTCATATATTGGTAAAATAATTAAATAGGCATTATATATTTTCTTAAATAATAATATTTGTTTAATATTGTACATCTATACCGTTTTTCCCTGTTTTGCTCCATTTTCATCAGTTTTTTCCATTTGTTAACAAAAACTCCTGGAAACATCAAATAATGATCTTCTTAAAGTACCTTCCTAGTCAGATTTCCATTCAGAAAAGTGCTATCATTGTAAATCGGAGCAAGATTTCTGGTAGAAAAAGTGTTCATATAAAAAAAAATAATAATAAAATAAAAAATGTAAACATCTTTGTAAAACTAATACATAATTTCTTCACTACACTCAGAATCTAATATATATTTATGTTACGAAGTTGACTGTTTTAGATTTTGAGTGGAGCGAAGAAGCTTATATGGTTTTACAATGGTGTTCATTTTTATGTTTTTAATTTTTATCTGTGCGCAACTTTTCTACCAGAAGACTTGCTTAGATTTCTACGTGTAGCGTCTAAAAGGAAATCAGCGTGGGAAGGTACTTTAGGGTAGTCATTTTTTTAATTTTCTCAAGAGTTTTCTCATCAAATGCGTGAAACCGAAAAGAACGGGAAAATGTAAGAAACATAAAGT